TGTGTGTTTGTGGTGTGATAGTGTGTGACTGGTCGTGCTGTGTGTGTGTGTGTGTCAGACTAGAATCTGATATGAGTGTGGGGGTTGTGCAGGCGTTTGGGTGCTTCGACGTATAATCACGAGCCGTTTGTTCTCTGGTGTCAGTGGAAATCATCATCGCGGACGCACCGCTCTCCTGCCGCCATCATGAACTTTGTGGCGTACTCGTTATCCACCAGTGTGGTTTGAAAAAATGACTGAAGGTTTTAACATATGTGCACTTTTATTCAGCCAGTAAAATATTTAAAAGGAAAAAATAAAAAGAAACAACCTGTGACGTGTTTGTTGTTGAGTTCGTGTTCGTACGTTATCGCAGATGTTTCCAGCTTGTTTTCAAACCTAGACAAACTTTTCACTGTACGAGCATCTACCGCCACACTCATCCGACCCTCACCACTCATCCTCGGTCGACCATACAATAGCCCTACAATACCATCGCACCCTCACTATCCGCCTATACACTTTCATCATGAAACACCATCACACACATCGTGACCTCCTACTACGCCACAAGCCTACATCTGAACCACTCTATGCTCCATCACACTTACACAGGTACCGTCAGCACTCGTCACTCACACCTTACCTACTCATCCCACAACAACCTAGCCCGCCTCAACCACTCCACGTACATATTCTTCTACCTACAAGTACTTACATCTTCCACCTACCCTCGTACTTCATTACTATACGGCCTCCATCATCCTGTACCAGTTCCAGGCATCCACAGATACATACCTCCACTCACCTACTCTAGACTACATGAACATCATGACTCATACACCTCTCTCCATTAACTCCGCACTACGCTACACCACACCCACCTACTGCTCACACCATCACACGCTCCATCATACACAACCAAGACCAAATTGTTCAAATCGTTAACTCAAGAATCTCCTCCTTCGACCAAGCGTTTGCGATCTAGACTTTCAGCCTGCTCGTTATAAGAAGGTTTATAGTCGATTGCTGCCCTCTCAAACTTAAAGTGCACTTAACACTGCTCAGCAGGAGGTTTGTATTTAGCCCCTCCTCCCCTCCCCTTCCTGCGCGCATAATCACATGGCCTCCACTGATCTTTCGTCCATTCGGTAGAACTTTGGGCTTCATCATTATACAGCATCTTGCGCTAGCGGACTTCATGTAACAACACGGCAGCGACATATACACTCCTCTGGACAATATCTTGCAACGGTCTGCCTATCGTCTAATTAAGATCGAGACTCGCTCTGGCAGCGCGCGGAGGCGGACGCACTCACTACAACCATGACCATCCAGGCAGGCAGGGGCGCATCTCATCAATCTAGCCACTAATTTTGTTATTAGTCTAGCTCTCTAGCCCTCTGCTCGTATGATCTTTTATTAACCGCTCATCTTCTCTGCCACATGGTGGCCTATTATTCACAACAACATAGCAAACGGTATGACGCAGTCGAGATTCGGGCAAGATCCTTGCTTTCCTTAACCATAGTCTACCCCACCTATGCAGGTGTAGTAACACGTCTGTATCTCGTCGATATCTAATCCAGACCCGCCTCATCGCGTGAGACACCAAAAGCAGCCCGTACGACTGAGATCGTTTAGCACGCTGTGTCTTTGATAACATCCCACCACAGACGGGCGGTTTCCGTCCTGCTGCTCAAGACCCCTCATCCCTCAGTACTGAGCCCTCCTATCTACCGCTCACTAGCTCGCTATTCTGACTGACTTAATAGGATGAAGATGTGTAAATGATGGTATGTTTTTGGTCTACTAACTCCAGAGTCTGCGCAGCATCTCTAGGACAACCAACACTTCACACACACTGACGCGTTCTGTCTGCCAGGCACTGCACCGGTCACTACGCGAGCAAAGCGTATAATGCATGGTTGGAAAATCCGGTCACGGTCTAAACAAGGTGTCTGTGGCTTCTGGAGATGGAGAGGCGACCTGACGTCATAGTTTCCACAAAGCGCGGCCGCCGTGTCATATGTTCTCAATCAAACCGCCATGCACCAGCCTCTGCTTCGTGTGTGCGTCTGTGTCCGACAAGGTGAACCCAGACGGCAGAACGTGGTGAAAAGGTGGGCCAAGACAGGTGGTCAACATATCCGCCAGGGAGGAAACCTGTCTCCTGAATCTAAAGGAGTCTGTGGACCGTGAGTCGGAATTCATGGACCTCCGAGGACACGGGCGCGCAAAAAAAAGGTTAGCAGGCGTCTTCCAACAGCGCTGCACCACAGAGATCCATAAACACGGGGACACATGTCCCATTACCAAGGCGATGAGGGGGGCGTGGGGGGGCGGGGGGTGAAGTCACTGACTGTGACTGATGGTGTTTGAAAACCTTTCTGCTGTATGATTCTGCCCTGTGTGTTAAAAACACGTCTCACTGAGATGTTCGATGTATGCCTCATGAGGCGGGAAGGAGCTCGACTACTTTGTGTTCAAGTTGCAGACAACAAAAACAAGTCAACATGAACCGGACGTCAGCTAATGATCGGACTTATAACCACCGGACACACGAGAGTGATTTAACCTTTAGATCCTGAGTCTCTCTCTGAAACCTCAGCACTACCGCCTGCTGACATACAACACTTTCCACTTATTTACTCCAGCTCTACGGCTGAAGAGCTCAGCAAGAACAGTGCAACCTAAATACATCTCGAACTCTCCCTCTAAACCCTCTTCCATCCTATACAACAAATATTCCTTAAAACACTAGCCACTTAATGCTCGCATTCCTTGCCTAGAAAATCTCTTAAGACATATCATTTATGTATTATCTAGCCGCACACAAAAACCAATGTAGCATCACCCGATCTCTCTCAAACTCCTACATTTCCTCACGCTTATAACCGGACTTCAACTTTTTCTTTTCTTTTAACGTTTATTTGATTTTGTTTTAATCCTTGATGACCATTACAGTTGAAGGCAGTTTTGATTTACAATGAAAACCAAAGGTTTAAGGTCTCAGATGGTTTTTATTTCATGTCTTTATCTGATTCACAGGCTGAGAAATAAAGGTTTTAGTGTCAGTGTTGCATCAGGTGAACTTTTACCTCTAGCTGGCAGTGATACTGCCTCCTCCTCCTCCTCTTTTTCCTCCTCCTCTTCTTCCTCCTCCTCTTCTTCCTCCTCCTCTTCTTCCTCCTCCTCTTCCTCCTCCTGACTGGCTGGTTAGCAGCTCAGCAGGTCGAAGTCAGTGTCTGAATCTTGTTTTTGTTGTTTTTTCCTCCAGGTAGCTGCTGACATCGTCCGAACTGCGACTTTAAAAACTTTTTTTACGACTTTAAAAAGCAAAAAACAAAAATACATTTCACCTTCCTGACACGAAATTTCAGCGAATCACAATCAATTTCTTGGGTCACATGACTTAATCATATACTACGTTGCGCAGCGTCGAACAGTCCGACATTTTGAATTGAACCAGAAGATCAGAGGAAGTTCACGAGGACTTTTCTATCAACAGCTTTAGATCCACGTGATCAGAGTTTATAAGATGTTAAACTGTCAAAACTAAATCATTTCACTTTTCCTCCGAACTGCGGCTTCAGAAACAGTTTTGAAACTTTTTGAAACTTTTAAAAACACGGCTCCATGAGTCTGTCAGCGAGGTGCCTGAAATCACATTGTTCTTCCTGCTGCAGCTTTTCCTTCATTTCCGGTCACGCCGTCGTTCCCCTTCAGGGCGCCGTGTTTCTACTGGACTTCATTTAAAAATAAAACCATGAATAAAAAAATAAAATAAGATAAAAAAAAAAAAGAGTCATTCATGGAGAAACTCTGTGAGAAAATGCAACACCATTTTATCCCTGAATGAAAATAAAATGGCGTGTTTGTATTTTAGAGGCATCACTCTGACTCTCTGTGTCCCCCAGCTCCTCCGCCGCCAAAGAGAGCCCCCACCACAGCCCTGTCCATGCGCTCCAAGTCGATGACCTCTGAACTGGAGGAACTTGGTGAGAACATCCTGGTTTCGTTTTTTTGTTTTAACTCCTGTTGGAGCTCGGTGTCTAACAGCTGCTCTCTCTGTTTGTTCCTCTTCCTTATTCTCATTGATTGGTTTTAATCTGTCAACAGTGGATAAAGGTAAGCAGTCAGCGCTGCGGGACCTTTTTTTGCACTTCCATCTCCGCCCGGTCGTAACATCCACCGGCTCGCGGCGGCCGAACGAAGCTTGTGCAGTTTCAGTTCCCCATCCTTCCATCATTTTCGCTTCTAGTTTGACCCGTAAAAGAAAAGAAGGAAGCTGCTTCTCCTCCCTCCTCATTTCCTGTCCTCCTTTGCCATCATGCATGAAGGACACACGCTTTCTAAAGACCCCCCCCTCCCCCCCTCCCCTCCCTGCTGCTGCTGCTGCTGCTGCTGCTGCTGCCGCCGCCGGAGCAAATAAGTGCAAACTGTGACTTTAGCATCGTCTTTCTTTATCTGTTTATTTGTCTTTATATCTGTGTGTGTCTCTGCTTTAACGGTGCTGGAGCTAATGTCTTCTCACAGACAGTCAGCAGCTCTGAGACACAAGGGGGGAGGGAGGGAGGGAGGGAGGGAGGACTAACCCTAACCCAGATTTCCCAGTGTGAAGATTTGTGATAACCTTTGAGTTTTAGACAACAAGCAGGTTAAAGACGCCACATCAGATCATAGGAACAGTCAGAGCGGCAGCCATATTGTTTTCCTGGACACGATATCTCAGTAACGCCTTGAAGTAACTTCTTCATATTTCACACAAACATTCACTAAGGCTCAAGGATGAACTGATTGGATTTTTGGGGAGGTTAAAGGTCAAAGGTCATAGGTCAGTGTGACCTCACGAAACAGTTTTTAGCCATTACTCAAGAGTTCTGGATAAACATGGGTGTAACCTGGAACTAGTCTGAGTGGTGGAGGGATACAAGTTATTTTTATGCCTTTATGAGAGAGTGTCAGTGGAGATAAACAGGAAGTTCACAGAGAGAGAGTAGCAGCGAATGGCGTGCAGCGAATGGCGTGCAGCGAATGCTCCGGCCGGCCCGGGAGTCGAACCGGCGACTCGCTGCTCAGGGCGTTTCACTCCTGTTTTTGTCTTTTTATGGCTCAAATACTTTATTAAAAATACGAAAACAGATGATGAAATATTGATCGTAGCATTAGCTGCCGCTGGACTGCACACACTGTACACACTGTATGGATCAGAGAGAGAGAGAGAGAGAGAGAGAGAGAGAGGTGAATGAATAAATGAGTGACAGGGGAGAAGATCTACTTGTGCTGCAGAAAATAACTCAGCTCAGCTTGTTTTATTTTAGAGCTGCTTATTTGACACATTTGCATTTTCATTCTTCCAGCGTAGTAATAGAGTTACCTGATTGCGTCGTTAAGTTGCTGCTGCAGGACGACTAATTCAAACTGATGAAAAACACACCGAGTGAAAACACGAACGTTTCTTTGGGAAAATGACTGAGTCTGTTTTTTTTTTTTATGATCTGAAGACTCAGAAAAATCTTTTTCTGTCGCCCCCTAAGCCACTCTAAGGAAAAAGAAAGGTGGTAAGTTACTGTGGGCATGTTTTAAATCTGATCCAGTATTTCCAATGATTGGTTTATGTCACACACACACACCCCTCCCCCCCACCCCCCACACCTCACTGTGATTAACTAACTCTGCTGTATTTGTTGATTTAAGATTTGATTTGTCTGACGAGCTCCTTCGACTTTCAGTCAAACCAAACGTGGCGTCTCTCTGTGTTTTATTTGCATGAGTGACGATCTGGTTTATTTTTGACCACGACCTCAGTTGTGTCCTAAATGTTGTTGGTGCATGGTTTAATGTCGTAGTGGTAGAAAGGTGTTGAAGCATCGTCTGTCTCTCCTTCACAATCACAGATTCTTGTTTCTCCTTCTTCTTCTCCTTCTTCTTCTTCTTCTTCTCCTTGACTTTAGATGTTTCCCTCCTCGGACGCCGAGTCGTTCTGTTTATTTCCCGTTATTTAAAGGAGTAAACGTTTCATACAGACACAGAATCTGCATTTATTTACACGTTTTAGTTTCAGGCTTAAAAAGAATCCTCACAAAGAAATGTAGCAGCAGACATTTAATGAGGTTTTACAAAATGTGTGTGTGTGTGTGTGTATATGTGTGTGTGTGTGTGTGTGTGTGTGTGTGTGTGTGTGTGTGTGTGTGTGTGTGTGTGTGTGTGTGTGTGTGTGTGTGTGTGTAAAAACACTGTTGCCGTAAGTCAATGTTTGTTCATTTTACTTGACCTAAACAGATTTGCTGTCATGTTTCTTTTCTTCCTGTGTGCCTTCGTTTTTATTTCTTTTTCCTCCTCTGTCATTGCAGGTGTGTGTGTGTGTGTGTGTGTGTGTGTGTGTGTGTGTGTGTGTGTGTGTGTGTGTGTGTGTGTGTGTGTGTGTGTGTGGAGGGGGAGGTTTATTCCAGGAAACGTTTCACTCACAGATAGGTTTCCAGGGCAACGGTGTTGCAGGTTGTCTGCTCCTCTCCAATTGGGAGACAGATCGCAGAGAGAGGAAATTAACTTCAGGAGGAAATGCATCTTCTTCTTCTTTTTTTTTCTTCTGTCGCGCGTGCGTGCGTGTGTGTGTGTGCGTGCATGTGTGCGTGCGTGCGTGTGTGTGTGTTTTAGCTCTAATCATAGTTAAAGTCATTGATGCTCCTTTCCTCCCCTGTCCTCCCCTCCCCCCTCCCCCCCACTCCTCTCCTCTGTGTGTAGATGCGCAGAAGAAGAGGATTGTTTTCCAAGTCACTCTAAGTAATCACTGTCCTGATGCATGGAAGCTTTGACAGCGAGGCAGGGAGGGGATCCGGTCGCAGGCTAGATCAGGGCTAGCATGTAGCTTCTCTTTAGGTGGACTCTATCTATCTGATGAGCATCATCACACACCAGGGGGAAGTTCAGCTCTGCCAAATTTGCCGTTGACACTCCCCCCCCCCCCCCAAAAAAAAAAAACAAAGGGGAGAAAGAAAACGGCAAACTTGACGGACTTCACCTTCATTTCTCATTTTACATTTAACGAGGGAACGACCCTGAGAGTTGATGATGCTGCTGAGTCGGCTGTTTGGTAAAGAGCTTGCACGGCTTCCAAGGCTGGACACGCCCACACACACATCCATCGCAGTCCTCCCGTTCGCCCAACCCCCCCGCCCACCCCACCCCCCCCAAAAAAAAGTGTTTCAGTGTTTTTCTGTTTCATGTGCTCATGCAATTCAGCGTGAAACGCGGGACGGGTGACAGTGAAATCGAGGCGCTTGCGTTTTGGCCCATGACAACCTGAACTAAGGCTTTGCCAAGTGAGCCCCCCCCCCCCCCCCCACTCCCCTCTCCTCCCTCCCTCCCACTCCCCCCCCATTGCTGTTGTTACTCATGAATTATGGGTGGCTTTGTGTTGCAGACAAAGTCGAGGAGATGACGCACGCCCAGAAGACCTCACCTGTAGACATGAAGATCGCCACGATCAAACCACGCCCATCCAGTCGCTGCTTGGTCACGCCCACTGATATGAATGTAAGTGAGCAGAGCTGAGCTCAGAGCGGCTGCACAAAACACCTTAAGTTTTCTACTTAAGTAACGGCACTTAAGGCGAGGGAATTACTTCAGGGTGTTGCACAGAATCTCTCAAAAGGTTACTTTAGTTTAAGGCATTTGCAGCAGTGACAGATGTTTTACGGCAGTAAAACTCTGCTGCATCGTTAAGGGAGTCTCCCGATCATGGAACATCATCATCATCTTCCTGCGATGCGTTCACTGTCTTCTAAACTCAGAGGTACCTTCAGTTTTTATTTTGGTCACTAAGGTCTTTTGTGCAAATGACTTTAAGTGATTCCTTAAGTATAAGTCTAAGATAAGGAGAAAACCATTTTAAGTGAGGAAAAATCTCAAGGTGTTTTGTGCAGCTGGCACCTGGACTTTACTACTTTACTAGCTTTTAAACTACAAATGAATCACAGATTATCCGATGATACTCAGACCACTTTTACTCCACTACACTTAAAAGACAAATATGAAGTTCCCTTACTGTGAAGCAGAGTTTTGAGTCTGTGGAATGAATTTGCTTTTATTTTGAAAATGTGATAGCCCATACACCGTGTTGGTCACAGGAGAAAAACCAATCAGAGCCAGCGCCTCCACTGTCAGTCAGTGACGTCAGATAAAGAAGAGGCAGACCATGTCCTGACCTGAAGTCTGTGTTTGAAGGTTTAGAAATAAAGAAAGATTCATTTAGTTTGAAATGTTTGCTTTACATCAGTTTGTGTTACATGATAGAAAACTTAATCCTCTTAATGAAAAGTTTGTGTTTCCTGTTTTCAGTCCATGTATCACGACCGCCAGGGAGTAGCAGTGGTGCCGCCCACTGTGCCGGGGGCCTTCCTGGGGATCCCTGAGAAGGGCACCATGAAAAAGCAAAAGTCAATAGGTATGAATACAGTGTGTGTGTGTGTGTGTGTGTGTGTGTGTGTGTGTGTGTGTGTGTGTCAGCTCAGGTTCTGAACTGCGTGTCCACTACCTCGTGCTTGTGGCTTGTCGTAATCTTCCGTTAACGCTCGGAGGACCAGCTGCGGTAATATTGAAGCTAATTACAGATTAAATTGATCCAGTCAGCAGCGTGCGCTTTCATTAAGCTGAAACCTCCGTCTCAGCGCTCAGGGACGTCACACAGACCCGCGTCACTCACTGCCGTCATTACTGTAATAAAAAATGAATGAATAGCGATGACAGCACTTGCGGCTCATTCTGGTTTTGACGACTAACGGGGGGAAAACGTGACACCTGGGAATAGATCCGTACTGAGAACTAAATAGCCCCCCCCCATCCCCTCGCTGACTAACTCCTCCGACTTCCACAACTGGAAAACTCTGTACCTGTACAAATGGAGCCAGATGGAAGATGAATAACTCGCCTGTAGATCCACAAGAAGCTGCATTTGTATCTAAATGTCTCCACTTTTTCTCTACAGCAGAATAAAATTGATTGATTGATAATTTATCTGACCAGCGGCTCCATATCTGCTCTTCTGAACAGATTTAAAATGAGGCCTTTAATATAAACACATGGCTTAACGTTCCTTTTAGATCTGGAAACAGATAATTATGTATCTGTGGAAAATATTTTTGCGTATTAACTGTCGCGTAGCAAGAATATATATATATATATATATATATATACATATATATAAATAAATGTATACAGCCATGAGGAACTCTATAATCAAGTAAAAATGTTTGTTGACACTTCAGCTCAGTGAAGCTCTGTAGTGAAGATTTCAGTTCACTAAACTAACTGTCCGGCCTCTCACAAGTTGCAGGAACCTCCTGCTTGGATGAATAAAGGTTAAGACAGAGCTCACATCAATAAATGAGGGACTTCCTGTAGAGCGAGGGCGCCACGCTCGCTATAACAGATAGGGATGTCTCCCCCAGATCCTCACATCATTTTTCTTTCTGCCCCATTTCTCCAAGGAACATCGGAGGATGAGAAACAGGGATTCCTCACTCCTCCCCTTCTCAAGTTCTCCCGCAGCCTCTCCATGCCCGACACCTCAGAGGACATCCCCCCTCCCCCGGCCATCTCGCCCCCTTCGCCACCCGCCTACAACTCAGCTGCCGGCCCGACACCCAAAAGCTACGGCACCACGCGACCCAGCTTCACCCAGAACTCGCCTAACGCGGTGACGACCATCAGCCGGACCACCGACGTCGGCACGTTGAGGCGCGGCTACTTCCGCCAGAGCTCGGAGCAGTTCGAGAGCACGCGCACTCGAGGGCGCACGCCGGTGCCCGAGAACCCGTACTCCGAGGTGGGCAACAAGACTCTGTACGTGCCGGCGAAACCGGCTCGAAGGAAGGGGATGTTGGTGAAGCAGCCCAACGTGGAGGACAGCCCCGAGAAGACGTGTCACATGCCAGCAAGCCCCTCGGGCCCGGTTTCCATGCCAACGACGCCTGTAGAGCGAACGTGCTCCTCCATCCCCATCCCCACGATCATCGTCAAGGAGCCCTCCACCAGCAGCAGCGGCAAGAGCAGCCAGGGTAGCAGTATGGAGATCGAGCCCACCACCCCCGAACACCCGCCTCTCACCCCCACCGTCGGCGGGAGCGGAGGTCTGCGTCCCGAAGACCCGCTGTCACTAAGCAACCCCTTTGCGGCAGCTATAGCGGGGGCGGTACGGGACCGGGAGAAGAGGCTCGAGGCAAAAAAGAACTCAATCGCCTTCCAGTCGATAGACATCGGGGATGAGGACTTGAGCGGTCCCACGCCGACCCCCCGCCTCCGCCAGTCCAAGTCCATCGATGAAGGCATGTTCAGTAGCGACGAGCGGCTTCGAAGGATACTGGCTCCGCCCTCTGCAGCACAGCTAGGGCCGCCTGTTGGGGGAGGAAGTGGCAACATGACGGACTTCAACACCCCCGAGCCCACGGTGGTGCGGGAGCCTCTGAACACCAGAACAGGTCAGTGTCCCAACCTGGACAGTCCCGTCAGTCTCCCGTCCACGCCTCCCAAGAGCCACTACAGGGCCAACGGGACCTACCTCCATCCTGTCACCGGCAAACCCTTGGATCCTAATTCTCCACTGGCTCTGGCGCTGGCGGCTCGTGACCGGGCCATGAAGGAGCAACAAAACCACCCTCAGAATCAGCCCCCAAATCCTCCTCAGGTTCAGCAAACCCCCAAACACGAAGCCCAGTCCCTCCCGATCCAGCCCAGCCACAAACCAGACCTCAACCAACCGCTGTTCATCGACACCAAGCTACGCTCCGGGATCGAGACCAGTTTCGCCGCGATCTCCACGGCGACCATGGGCCGTCCCGGGCGGGGCGGGCTGCGGAGGCAGATGACGGAGCAGAAGTACGAGTCCGACGGGGCGCGGGAGGAGAGGCAGCATCAGGCGGTGGAGGAGAGGAAGAGCGCGCCGGCGGACGTGGCGGACTCGTCGCAGCCCAAGTCGGCCGGGCTCCTGATGGTCCACACCAGCACTGACGCAAGCAACAAGGTCAACAACCAGGACCTGGAGGGGCAGGACAGCAACAGACCCTCCGAGCTGAAGGACCCCAACCAGCCCGAACCCCTCAACGCCACCACGCTGGCCCCCGGCCCCCAGCCCGCCTCGTGCCGGAGGAGGAGCATTCCCCTGGGGGAATCCATGGACGAACCGGTGAAGCTTCCCTTCCGCATCCCCCCTCCCCCTCTGGCCTCAGTTGACATCGATGAAGACTTTGACTTCTCAGAGCCCCTCCCCCCACCGCTGGAGTTCGCCAACAGTATTGACATCCCCGACGACCAGGCTAGCGCCATCGCGGAGATGCTTCGGGAGCAGAGACGGAACGGGGGGCCTGCTCTACCCCCGTACCACGCCCACGCCCCGCCACCCGTCACCGATCAACACAAACGGGTGACAAACAGCATGCCCCCCTCGTACCCTCCTCCTCCGCCTGACCCGGAGTCGGGGGTGGGTGACTCGGGCATCGAAGAGGTGGACAGCCGCAGTAGCGGGGACCCCCAGCACATGGAGACCACCAGCACCGTGTCCAGCATCTCCACCCTGTCGTCGGAGGGAGGCTTCTGCGACAGCGCCCTGGAGAGCCTCTACGCCACCGCCGACGGACACGCCTTCCTCGTGGATCGCCCTCCCGTGCCCCCCAAACCCAAGGGCAAGTCCGTCATCAACAGAACCTCGCTTTATCACGACGCTCTCATCGAAGAGCCCCCAGAGTCCTACGGGTCACCGCCTCAGGCCCCTCCCCCTCCCCCCTCCGAACCTCCCAGGACTCCTACTCAAAGGACATCCAAGCTGTGGGGCGATCAGGCCCCCGAGCTGTGCAGCCCCCCATCCACGCCGGACACCAAGAACACCGTCATCACCGAGCTGAGCTCCATCCTGCAGCAAATGAACCGCGACAGGCCGCCCAAGACAGGGGAGAGCCTCGACTCCCCCACCGGGACCAGGGGGGCCTTCGGAGCAAGGTACGTGACGAGTCCGTCCCGAGTGACTCAACTTTTTTGTTTTTGTTTTGATGTCGAACGCTGAACGTTTTCCATGAGCTTAAAGTATTTAAAGTTTTCTCCTCATCTTAGTCTCATACTTCAGGAATCACTTAAAGTCATTTAACCGTTGCACAAAAGACCTTAGAGACCATGAAGGTAAAGGCTGAATAGGTATCCTAGTGCTAATGGCAGTGAAGCAACAATCTCCATGGAAACAGTAGATTTTTGCTGCTGTAAAATCCCTTTCACTGCTGCAAATGCCTTAACTAAGGAAAACTTTTAAGAGATTCAGTGCAACACCCTGAAGTAACTCGCTCAGCTGAGGAGAAACTAAACTTTACTTCATCAGAAAACTTAAGGTGTTTTGATCGTCCCTCATCTTTGACTTTATTTTGTCATGTATTTTAATGGTTAGTTACCTGTGTAAGAACAAGCAAATCCCCCAACACCTGCAGTATTTGCATGTAGCATTGTCTGGTGTCGTGTTTATCTGTTGTATCAAGCAGGACTCGACAAGTTATTGATTGATATTGATATTATATTTCTAATAATGTGCATAGAGGACGTGAGGTTTAGGTGTTTTTTATTCATCTGCTGAAGTTGTTTGAGTTTCGTAGAAATGTAAGAAAAGGCCAGGCGTGGTGTCGTTCACCCCAGATACAAGAAAACATTTCCCCTCTTCCTCCTCGATGAGCTGATCATTGGTCAGTTGATTATTGATTATAGCTTCTGTAGGAGGTTCGGAGGTCTGCAGCATTACAGCTCACCTGGCTGTTGGATGGTCAGCTGCTTGCATGTCATGTGAAAGGCTTACAGCGACATAGTGAACCCTCGATCCTCCGAGGCTCCATAGATATGTATATATATATATATATATATGTATATATACTATATCTTTATATACTCTGTGTATAACACACATTCCAGAGCGTAGCTTGGCATGTTGTCAGATGTGGTAGGTGAGCACAGGTTTTAATATAGTTCTTTGTACAGGCGCGGTGATGATGCCAAACCTCTCTGTGACGGAGAGATGTCAGGAAGCTGCGTATAGTCTCTGCACCGTACTGTCGCTTGGCAAGAAATAGTTCCAGCATTTAACAGTTTCGCTTCTGCTACTGCAACTGCTAGCAGCTGCTAAACAGAACCATGGAGGCATGGTTCTGGAGGCATGGAGATCTTAAAGCTCATCTTTTCTTCTTCTGTGTTTTATTTGAAGTGTTGAAGAAGAAGATATACTTGTGGTTTTAAGAACCAAAAACCATCTCAGTGTAGTTTTACATCTCATCTCTCAGGCTGCTCTCTGCAGCTCTATTAATAACGGGTCAGTGAGCCAATCAGAAGAGAGGAGGCTCTGAGCCTATCTTTGGATGGTGGGTCCAGGTGGGCGGGGCTTGGTGACTGCTTTGTTGTGACATCACAAAGTTCCAGAAGTCCTGACGGCTGGTTTTAAGGCTCAGTTTCTGAATACAGGCTGTGTGCATTTCTCTGTGGACTGAGGCTTTGATACTTTCACAGTATTAATATAGAAGCTAGAGCTGATCTATAATCACACTACACATGGACACAGACCTTTACACTGGAGGAGCTTTAAATAAAAGCTGTCATCCTCTCACTTTCTATCTGACAGTTGTTTGTAGAGTTTACTGTTTGACAGGTTGGATTCAAAGACTTACTGAGTGTTCATCTGAAACGTCCGTGTCGTACATTGTTCAGGACATGCAGGAGTCACACTTTCAGTAAGTGGAACAACATTTTGATGGACCCTGCACCTGAACCAGCGCAGCTCATGGTTTTTTAAACCCCCCCCCCCCAGTATGAGAGGGAAATAAAAAGCACAATAAATAATTCACCGCTCACATGCATTTTGTATGAATGGTCCCATCGCTCATCAGAGAGGTGTAGAGAGCGGAGGGAGAGAGCTGATTCCTCTGGGCGCTCGTGTCTTCTGATCAAATAAGCGAGGTTAGATCAACACAGTGACGTCTTTTTGTGGTAATTACAGTGAGATGCCCGGCGGCTGCTCAGGTCCGGGGCCTGGCGTGTCCTCCGTCACGCTTCCTGCCACATGCTATCACTTTATCCTCGTTTTCATCCTCTGCAGTTCAGAGTCCTGCCTGTCGACCTTTACACCTTGTACTCATCTCATTTTCAGCTCACGCCTCCTCTCCATCTTCATCTCCATTCTCTCCAGTCTCCTGTTGTCCCCTCACCTCCTCTTTCTTCATGCTCCTCTGTGTCTCCCGCCTTCACAGGTACGTTCCATCACCTCACTGCCGACGAGCGACCTGTGTCAGCCTTTTGTGTGTTTGTCGTCCTCTGATTAGACTGTGGAGATCTTTGTTTCATAAAGTTTGGTAGCAGTGAGGAGAGAGTGAAACTGGGGACAAAGCAACTTTTTAATGCTGTCAACAGAACGGTTTATTAACATATATGATCTGTATTTACATTTAAATAAAAACTAAACACAGACAAATCAAGGATTAAAAGAAAGTAAACTGTAAGAAATGAGGAGAAATGTTCAGTTGTAGAAAAAACTAATATCAATTTAAGCGTCGCTTTATTTTTGAACAGTCGTCAAACAGACTTTTACTTTGGAACGAACGACGCACAAGAGCAACTACGGCACACACTGTATTCTTCCGCAGATCAGCTGTTTGAGTCGGAAAAAATGTAGTTCCACAGGAAAGGGCTGTTCGATGTGGAGGTGCAGTGATGGCACAGGAAAAGTAATAGAGCATTTTCCTTAATTTCATATTTTAATAGGCGTTAAAAACAGGATCATCAGAAATCCATCAATAAATACTTCAGATTTAAAAATGTTTTTAGCATAAACAGCATAAAACTCATTAAATAAACCGTTTATAAATACGTTTGATAATTAATTAATAATAGAATTTGAAAAACTATTTGAAAACACATTTTGAAAACGGGAATACATTCCCGGATTCCCTCTTCAATCTCCATTTACTTTTTCCAGCTGCTTTTTCATTTTCCTTTTAGCTCATCAATTAGCTTAGCCACTTAGCTTCTCCTGTTAGCCTCTCTGTGTTCACTCGTCCTCAGTAACAGTTGTTCTCACCGGTTTTTGAAGAGGATTTAAAAACTTTTAGTTGGAAACTTTTAGTGCGACTTAGAGAAAACACTTATAACCTCAACATTAAAAAGTGACGCCCAGTTTGCCCGGCCCTTCCCTTTTTCTGTCAGCGTGAAGTTTGAAGGAATGAGATCGAACAACCAGATGTTACCAGATGTTATCCTGCTGCTCTCAGCACATCCTGCTCAAACCAGTCAGCCACTTGTAATCCGGTCTCCTTCAATTGTTTCTGTGTGTGTGTGTGTGTGTGTGTGTGATGAAGTTTAAACCCCGCTCTATCTCGTTTATCAGTGTCTGTGCTCAGAGGTTTTTTTTGTGTGTTGCACCGCCTGTGTGTCGTGGAGACGGTTGCCGCGGCGGCAGCTTCAGCAGCAGAGAGGGAGAAGCCTCGTGGTGTGAGGAGGGTAAAGGTTGGTCCGGCCTCTGTGACCGTCAAACAGATGGCAACAGAGAAACACAGAAGATGGCCTAGATTCACATGTGCTCTTCCTCTCTCTCTCTCTCTCTCTCTCTCTCCATCCTTTGCTCTTCTGCTCATCCTCATCCCTCCTTCAGGATGTTAGAGAATCAGCCTCAGCTCTGGTGCTAACATCAGATTTTCTCTTTTGGACGTTTGTTGGTTTTTTTCTCTCCCTCTCTCTCTTTTTTTTATCCTTGTCTCTTAGCCTCCCAGATTAAATGTGCGTTGGTTGTGCCTGTGGACGAAAGGGTTGCCTAGCAACCTGCTGATGAGAGCAGCCTTGAGGCCTGCAGTGATGTCAGTCTGAGTCGGGGGAGGGGTGTGTGTGTGTGTACATGTGTGTGTGTGTGTGTGTGTGTGAGAGAGAGAGAGATGGATGGAGGATGGCAGGACTAACCCTCAGCAGAGTTCAACATCATCTCACGCAGGTCACGTGCTGCGCTGCTTTAGTAGGCCAGCGTTATGTAACTCAGCACCGCCGAGTCAGAGTGTGTGTGTGTGTGTGTCTGTGTGTGTGTGTGTGTGTGTGTGTGTGTATGTGTGATTGCATTCAAGCTTCTATAAATAAAGGCAGCGTGTGCACACATGCCGATGAGTGCGACCCTGTGTGTGTGTGTGTGCGTGCGTGTGTGCGTGTGTGCGTGTGTGCGTGCGTGTGTGTCATGTGATGTGTGGGCGTGGTGAAGGCGAGGTCTCCCACCACAGATATCAATAGCTCTGCATCACTTTCCTCTCAACCCGCTCAGCTGATGGAGGAGCAGCGTCGTCCCTGCACTGAACCGAAAGCCAGAGAGGGACACGTGTGTGTGTGTGTGTGTGTGTGTGTGTGTGTGTGTGTGTGTGCTGTTGGTTTAGAGCTCTATGTGACTGTTTTATTTTTAACAATTTAACAAAATAAACTATATGAACTCGAGCTGCAACAAAGAATCATTTTCTAATTGTTGTCATTGATTATTGATTAATGGTTTGGTTACATCTCAGACCAATCGATTAGGTGTTTTCACACCCGCTCTTTTTAGTGCTGTTAAACTGAACCCTGGTTCTTCTTCCCTCTCTGGTTCAGTTCAGTTCAATTCCCAGAATTCAAGGCGACATTCAAATAGTTTTATCTGACACAGTTTAAAACCTGAAGATATTCACTTCACTGTGACAGGAAACACACAAATCCGCAGGTTTGGGAAACTGGAAGAATCAAATCTTTGTCATGTTTTGTTTGATAAATCCCGACATGAAGACGAGGACGGTGGAAGGTGGAAATATAAACACTTCGGAAACATGAGGGAATCCATTCTGTCCAGTTCTCCACTAATGTCTGTGGAGGTGTGGCTTCATGTCACCAGCTGTTCCCGCCCTTACCGTTGCGTCGTGAAGCGCGGCTCCTGTCGCCTGATTCTGATTCTTTAGTTTATTATCAAATACCTGCCTCAGCTGAACTTTGTGTTTTAGCGCTCAATAACAAATGCTAACACGCTAAACTGAGATGGTGAACATTGTACCTGCTAAACATCAGCATGTTAGCATTTAGCTTGAACTGCTGCGCCTCAAAGAGATGCTAACACGGCTAACACTTTTTCTTTGTTGCTGTCTAAAGCCATTAAAGAGTCAGAGTCACTTCATCCCGACTGGACGTGAATGAAGTTTGATCGGTCGGTCGCCTGAGAGAAAGTCGGAGCGTAGCGCCGTCCTCTTTTGTCGTGCGTGACTCTTGGTAGTTGCAGGAAATGGTAATAAGGTCAGAGAAGCTAAACGAGGCTCTGTGCTAATTAGTCTAATAGGCAATTACATACTTTTCACATCAATTTAAGTCCTGTAGCAGAAAGTGTTTAACACATGATAGAATAGAGACGGATCTCCAGTCAGACCTGTCGTTATGTAGAAATAAAGATGTCAGATGTGACCCAGCAGCAGGAGACGTGGACGGAAGATGTTTCATGTTTCATCCATTCCCATCCTTTCTTTAATCATGTGTGTGTGTGTGTGTTTTTGTTTTACATGCTGTTCATCACGTTGTCCTCTGTCTCCATCTCATCCATCCAACACGACTTCCTGTGGGAAAGCTGGTGCTGAAAAGTGTAAGTTTTTTTTTTCTGTCACTGAATGTCGGGGCTTGGATGAACACCCCCCCCACCCCCCACCCCCCTTTTAACAATGGCCCAGTTCCATTTTGGCTGAACGACCCTCCTTTATTCCCCTTCACTTCCCCCTCGGGCCGTTCCATATGTCACGAGCAGGGAGGAGGGATATCTAGGCTGCACCTCGCAGTTGGTGAGGAAGTCGGTGTGAGAGAGCGAGGAGGTCGAGTTCATCACAGTGTGTGTGTGTGTTCACTTCTATTGATCCATTAGGAGAACACACACACACACACACACAAGAAACAAGCTGCTGGGGGAAGTTGAAGGAAGGTGATCACTCTGCATGGGCTGGTGTGTGTGTGTGTGTGTTGTGTATCCTTGTGTGTCACTGCTCCAAATATCAGCACATCCATCACATCCCTCCATCTGGGGCAGAGTGTGATGTGTGACACGCACACACACACACACACACACACACACACACACACACACACACACACACACACAGTGTTTCAGCTGCTGGTGGTGGGACATGTTTTCAGTTGGAGCCTCTTGATCTTAATGACCGACTCGTTTCAGCTGTAAAACGACATGTTCTCATGTTTCCACCTCATGTTGAAAAGAAGCTTCACACACTGATTTATCTTGAATAACTCTCAGCTGTTTGTCTCTGTAGTATCTTCTATATTTCTGTCAACAAATCCCATGAAAAGATAATGTGTCGATCCGTCTCTCAACACCTTCCCTCCTCTGTCTGAGGCTCATCAATTATCTGTAATTTAATAAAACGGCTGCTCACTGCAGGTTTGAATTTGTTGGGACTATTTTCAGCTGCGGATTAATCCACATGATGTTTATGGAGCTCTACGGCTCACAGGAATAACTTTTATCAATATTTCAATACTTGTTAAAAGGGGTGATTCATCATTGATTTTCATGGGATTTGTTGACAATAAGTCAATAAGATGATGAGTCATCATCATCAGGCTGCTCGTGCTCGTTTGTCTTCGAGTTGTGAGCAGTTCAGCTTTTCTCCTTTAAACCTCCAGAAGACGCAGAATATTAGAATATTCTTTTCTTTTCTTTCAGCACCAGTTTAATTTACAGGTGTGAACAAAAGGCAAAGAACGCGGTTGTAATCGACACTGTGGAGTGGAATTAGTTTATAGTGTGATAAATAAAGTGACTGTCAATATGATTATGATACTAACTTCAAGAAGTGGACATTTTCCTTTAATGTAATTAGTAACCTGATAATATAAATAATTCATTGCTGTTAATTATTTATAAGGCATAACTTCTCTTTAAAAGATGGTTTCTATAATAAAATCAATACTAAAATGAATAATACTATTAATAATTAAGAAAAAGCAATAAAGTATATATAAAGTGCATATATATATATATATATATATATATACATATATAGTATATATAAGCATATGGAATCATTTTATGACATTAAAAGGAAATTATTATTGTTTTAATCACACTACAAGGTTCAGATTATTATTATGATGAAGGCTAAGCAGCTTAATATCATTTATTTATCATAAATAATAATAATAATTAAAACAAGCTGCTGCACCACGAGATTATCTTGCAGGAGTTTTGGTTTTGTTAAATTACAAATTGTGCTGTAACGTAAATATATCACATTTAAAACAGGTGCTCGCCAGAAAACAGCTAAAAGAAAAGTGACTCCTACTGCACAAAAGAGGGTTAAACATGCACCAGCTTCATCATCTTCATCCTCTCCATCAGCTGCTGTGGCTCTGCTCAAACATTTAGCTAATGCTGCCACCTACTGTCCGTTCTGCAGCATTACACGATGAACATCTGTAGGTTCATGTTAATGATCCAAACTCTCGTCTCCTTTTCCTCTGGACTCCTTGAATAAACTCGTTCTCCGTTATAGAGATTCTTCCATCATCACTCCACCCTCCGTCTGTTCATGAACGTCACATCACTGTCACCCATTTTATTTTGAAAGTGTGTCGTATGTTTTTAGCTCCACTTCCTGCCTGGTGTGGTGTGAAGATCAACTCACAGCGACCATTAACTCACTTTTATTCATTCATGTATTTGTTTTAATTGTGGTGTCGCTTCCCAGGAACTTGTTTTACTGTGTTAAAGGTCACATTAACATCTTTAATGCAAAGTGTTAATGTTCATTTATTGTTTCTCTCCCAATTCAATGTAATAATAGATAATAATAAAATAGAAATCAAATGCAGAACAAGCACAAAGGAAAGAAAACGTTACTTATTTCACATTTAAACATGTCTGACTACTGTTTCAGCTCTCCCTCCATCACCAAACATACAGTGGATTAAATAATAAATAAAAAGGAAAAGAAAATGTGTTAAAGAGACTTTCCACCGATTCAGTTTAATCTTCACAACTGATCATCATCATCATCATCATCATCATCATCATCAGTGTTTCTCCAGCTTTGGCCTTCTACAACAATCACAGCTGTTTACCAGGCAATGAGGGTGTCATGATGATACACTCTACTGAGGTGTATTATGGGAAATGTAGGAGACTAAAGTTCAGGAAGTCTCAAACTCTGCTGCTTCGATTTTAACCAATAATTTCTTATTATTTCCTCGATTTTATGGACGTGTGTTTCCTGTCTCTTTAAATCTTAAACTATTCTTTCATTGAACAGGAAGTTTTCAGACAGTTTCCTGTATGATTCAAAATAAAAGTCTGCGACTATATTTTCACAGCAAATTGAAAACAAGTCTATATAGTCTAAATAAAATAAATCAACCAGAAACTTTGTGGAGGAACCTGCTGCATACTGGACAGACGAACATGTTGGAGGTCACTGGGCTAAAACATCATTTCCTGTACATTATTTTGAAAGTCATGCAGCTCTGGTCAGTATTTGTTTATGATGAGTGACTCACCTGTTGTCTCCTCCCCCCTCAGGCCGCCCACAGAAGACTCAGGAATGCGTAATAACGCCGCCGCCGCTGCTGCCCTCACCTCCACCCCGCCCAGCAGCCTCCCATCGCAGCCACACCCCTGCAGCCCACCAGACTCCGCCTCCTCCCTCACCCCCTGCTCCTCCCTGCCGCCCTCCGTGTCACCCACCCTCACCGACGTCTTCGGCCTGCCCACCCCACCGATGGGCAGCGGCGGCGGCTACAGCCTGAGCTCCTCGTGCGGCGGCAGCGGCAGCTCGCGCTCCCCGTCGCCGCTCACGCTGATGCAGGCGGTGGCGGCCTCGGGCAAGCCCTTCGCCTCCAAACCCATGGAGCTGTGGAGCAAGCACGACGTGGCGGACTGGCTGGAGAGCCTCAACCTGGGGGAGCACAGGGACGCCTTCCTGGACAATGAGATCGAGGGCGCCCACCTGCCCTCGCTGCAAAAGGAGGACCTGATAGACCTGGGCGTGACGAGGGTGGGCCACCGCATGAACATCGAGAGGGCCCTCAAGCTGCTGCAGGACAGATAAGCCCCGAGGAGACGGGGTGGCGACGTGCGGAGTCAGGGCCGAGGAGAGGGAGGTGTCACCGATCACTTCATCAGACATAATCTCAAGTTGTGGAACTGGGTAGAAGTTTTGTCCAAACTGATGCTGCCTCTTGCCGTTTTTTGTCCTCTCTCATCCTCCGTTGTCGCCCTCATCTCAGTGCTCCGGTCTTGTCCGCCCTCTTCCTCCTTCCCGCCGCCCCGAGCATCAGGGGATCATGGGACGTCTGGAGGAAGTGCAGGGGCAGAGAGAAGAGAATAGCTGCTATGTCACATCATGGAGGGAGAACGCAGAGGAGGCCGGTGTGAAGGACTGTCCACTGTCCAGAAGACAAAGACTCTGGAATAGTTCGTCCTCAAACGCTGGAAAAAAATACTCGACTGGAAGTTTCTTTCACATAAAGACTCGCTCACCCAACTGCTTTGGAATACTAAAGACTTTTTCCATACACCCCGGTGCGGGTGCATGAAGAACCAGCTGAGCTGGTCGTTGCTCCTTTTCTATCTTTGCTAGAGTTTGTTCAGAGAATAATATTTCTTCACTAGAGTCCTACCGGAGTTATATTTCTGGTTGCATCTAAAGTTGTAGAGAAAAATTTGAGATAGACTCCATTTTTTTTTTTGCTTTTCACCTGTTTGTGTCAAAATAAGAACTTTAGCTGACATGTTTAAACAAATACTAAACCATATCACACACACACACACACACACACACACACACACACTTTATGCACAGTGCCACACACTGAATACAAACAAGAGTACACACTGTCTTCACAGACGTATACACACCCTGAGCATGTTCACACACTGTTGCTGCGATGGCCTTCTCCTGAGAGAGAGCACAGCGAGGAGAGAGGTGGTCACCAGAGGAGGAGGAGGAGCTCTCGCCTCGCCGCTCTACACCCACCCGGCGTCCACCTCAAGGAAAACTGAGGCGAGGACAGGAGGCACAAGACGGACAGAAATATTCTCACCTTGAAACGGTTGTACCGACTTGTCTGGCTGTAAAGGGCGTCCTTGTCCTCTCTTGGTTTTTCCTTCTAGTTGTGTGTGTGTGTGTGTGTGTGTGTGTGTGTGTGTGTGTGCGGAGGTGTGGAGGTGTGTGTGTGTGCGTGTGTTTCAAGGCCAGTTTAGCTATTTCCATGGATCTGCTATATAGGCCACAGTATAGGGAAACTAGAGCTGTTCTTTACTTTTGTACTTCATTCTGTCAGATCCTCCTCCACCTCACCATTAGCAGGTCAACACTAGGAACACATGTGGCCCCACAGTGACGCTGATGTATAAGACACCCTGCGTGTGTGTGATAGAAGATGAGGTATTGTAGAGAAAGAAATTAAATATTAAACATCTTTACAGGAATAATTCAACATTTTGGGAAACGAGCTCAATGAGAAGATCGATCCCACCGTCGTCCCCGTCTGTTAAAGTCAGAGCTGCAGTGAAAGTGAAAAAGGAAAACTTCATTCAGAGAAGTAAGAAAGAGTAAAAGTAAAAGTTGGTGCGTCAATTCAAAACAAAATACAGTGAAATCACTTGATGACGTACGTGAATCATGTGACTTTAAACATCTCGTCACGTCCAAAACTTCCTCACGTCTATTTTTCCACAACGTTTTTTGTCCGTTGGAGGTTTAGTTTTAACGACCTCATGGCTTTGCACCCCCTTCTTCTTCTTCTGCTGTAGTTTAACAGCTACCAACTTCGAAATTAGTTCAAATTTGCACCACATTTGGATGGAAACTAATGACATTAGTAACAATGCAGTAGACAGTTAGCTTAGCCTGGCATGAAGATGCAGGGGGAAACCAAAACAGCTAGCAAGGCCAGGTCCAAAGTTAAAGTTAAAAATAATCAGCCTCTAAATCTCTCTAATATCTCATTTCTTAATTAGTGAAATTAAGGCAGATTTTTAATAGGTCGGGTTAGAGGTTTCCGCCCTTTCCCAGTCTTTATGCTAAGCTACGCTAGGCTAGTTTCATATTTAACACACAGGTATTGGAGTGGTATTGATCTTCTCATGTTTTTTAAGTCAGCAAGAAAGTGAATAAGCACATTTCCCAAAATGTCCAACTATTTAACATTCAATAGCGTTTTTATGAATTTGAATTGACGTTTTTTTTTCTTCCAAAAATGTCTTTCAACAGTTTTAAAAAACACAAATTAAAAGCAACTTAATATTTAAAGAGCTAAAACTCAAGTTTTACCAGAGAAGTCTCATATTTTCTATTTAGCTAAAGGACTACCTGAACATTTTGTACATTGTTCTTTGCTAATAAAAATGACTCAATGAGATTTGTTAGCATTGAGCTAACTAGCGCTCAAATCCTGTCAGATCCAAAATGAACCAAACAAACAGCAGTGCAGCTGTTTAAAGGAACAATTCTGTGATTTTAGAAAAGACAGTCAAAAGGGAAAGTGAACTGTTTTTAGACCGAACCAGCCTTTAGCTGTGAAGTTCTTCCTCTAACGAAGGCTGGAGACGTAACGCTGCGCTAACGGAGCTGTAGCAGACCGACACTGGCGGCCCCTACACGCCCAGACTGTTTGTCTTTGAGGATGAACGACATCTTTTCTTACCAATGTATTTATCAGCAGGTTGGCGCCTGATAACGTGACATCACTCCGAGCCATCTGACTTTCAGAGCAGATGGAGAATCCCTGGCTTCAGGGTTTTATGTCGAATTGCGTGTTCACATAAGTCCACAAACATGCCTTCTCCTGCCCTCTTACCACTGTGCAAGAAACAACCAGAGAATAACCTGACAGAGCTGGCAGATGTTCATCAGCGGGACCCCCCCCCCCCCCCCCCATGTCAGATTAGACAGGGATAGAAACCACTTCTGATCTGCTGCAGATGATGAGTCCCATGTTGTTATCCAGTCTCACTGCTCCAGCAGCAGAGACCAGATTTAAAGTTTCTTATAAGAGTCCGGTTTAAAACTAAATCAGCATTTATAAATCTGGAGATGTGTGTGTTTGCTAGCAGTGATTACAGGCTGGTCAGAAGTAGAAGTGCAGTGTGTGTTGAAATGTGTATATAAGAGTGTTTAACAGGATAAAAATGTCTATTTGATTATATGTATAGCTCTATTAAAAGGTTTAGAGAGTAAAAAAAAATGTTAAAAAAGAAATTCTATGAAGGTTCATTTATAGTTGCCAGAGCTGATGTGATGACCAAAGCAGTGGTCTCATTCGCCCCCATCATCCTGCAGAGGATGCCTTAAATATCTCACTGTTCCCTCCCTCCACTTCCTGCACATCTGTCGGTTGTAGAGCGCACCTCACCTGTGGTTTGAACCCCAACATCTGGAAGTAATATATATATATACATAAATATATACATATATACATATATATATATATATATATATATCGTTTTAGAACAAGTTCACCCTTCTTTGGTTTCATATCACACTCCGCAGCTTCATGTAGGTGCAGCTTTTCGAGGAGACACATGAAACATACACAAGCTCTGTGTTCTGTGAACATTAGCCGTATGGAGGCTGGCACGGGACAATGCTGCTATAATCCTGTTCCTGTTTGAACGTGTAACTTATTTTAAAACAAACAGCGACGTGTCGGAGGGGGTAGAAAAGCACAGTATTTTTAAAGATTTGTATAGAGTTCTATGAAATTTTATAGAGGTTATCTGAACAAAAACTGTTCAACACTGACGCGTGGATTGCCAAAAACAGAAATACTATATAGATTAAAAAAAAATGTGGATATTATTAGACTTATGGGTTATGTAAGAAGCAATATTTATTCTGAATGAATCTCCTTGGTTGTGTTTTATTTTCCCATTTTAAAGTTACATATCATGATGCAATCACTTGTCAGTGTTTTAATGAAGTGTTGCCTAAAGTAGATACACTCTCTCCTGCAGTAGTAAGATATATTTTGGCCAATCAAGTGACCACGAAACCCAGGTATCTTCTGACGACCCCCATCTGCCTGACTAGACTCCTCTCATCTTCTGAAACCCCCGAGTCCAGAGTGTGTTGTATAAAAATGAAAAAAAAAATCTGTAAATTTTAAAAAAAATATATATCTGCAGGCCATCTCGGTAGGAAACTATATGAAACCTATATATATGTATACATACATAAATCCACCAAAAAGATTAGTGGTGGCTGCTGACTCCTTTATCAGCAGGTCACTGTCAGTTTTCTCTGTGGAAATGTAGAGCTGAGTAGATGTAGTAAGAATCTTTAAAGAGCATCACCGTGGCGTGGCGCTTCACCAGGCCATGTTTAGGACAGGCATGGCTCACTAACCCACTTCCACTCCCCTTCAAAACACTGCTCCCACCTTTATCATTGTCCAACATTTGGGTAACTGTTTCTTTTTCTTTTTTTTTTTCTTAATTAATTAATTTATTTTTTTCATTAATAGATTTTATTCTTTGATTAAGTCTTCATAGAGACTAAGATGTTTTCGGTAATTTGTGCAAAGACTTGTGTTCATGTTTTCTATGTTGCTGTAATTTTGTGCTACTAAATCATCATAGAGTCAACTAATTACTGAAATGAAAAGAGAGAGAATTTTCCTGTAACTACACTCTTCCTTTCCCCTGCCCCTCGAATCCTCAAGACTTCTTGTATGGCAACCAAAATTCACTGTAAGAAATAAATATAATATTGCACTATTGTTGTATCCCTCTGAGTCCTTACATTACAGGTGTGTTGCAGCTGTTTGTGTGGGTCATCGTGTTCACGCTGGACGAGGACGGAGACGCCATCACACCTGAATGACGCAGGCGTCTGATCTGTGTGGACAAAAATAAACAACATCATCTGGAACATTAAAACTAATTAAAACACAAACTCAAAGGGAATAACTTTTCTTCATTTCTTCATTTTTAAAGGATGCATTATAAAACAAAAAAAAGATTATTTCCTTATTTGTAAAACAGCATGTACACTTCATCAACCCACTCTGTATGAACCAAGGTAGGTTAAAAAGTATATAGAAAATTCTTCTATTAAATGATGGTTTGACAAATAAATTTAAATGTTTTTGAAAATACTTTTAATTTTAACATTTTGTTTTTCCGTTTATTTTTTTTTTTCCATTTATGTGTCTTCCTTTTGTCTCCATTTAATAATCGGTTTACTTTAAAGATGACTTTCTTTCATTTAAATGTGTTAACAATGTGCCATTAAGTCCAACCCACAGAGCAGCAACAGGAGCACTGATTGGCCACACTTCTGCTAACGCCTTACAACTGGCCTATCAGAGCTCCTCTTGCTGCTATGTGAGGTGGACTTTGTTTTTTTTAATTGTCAAATTTCATTCTTTTACTTTGAGTTTTGTAATGCATAATTTAAATGCAAATTTAATCAATTTAGAAAATGTATCCATTATTAGATTATAATGAAAGACTGTAAAAGTCCAAACACAAACCTCACTGTATTTAATCTGCAAAAAGTAGTTTCAAACTTTCTGTGTTGTGAGCAAAACAAATTAAAAAATATCACATTCACCTCCGTTCTATTAGAAATCTCTAAACCTGAAGAAATAATAAAAATATTTGTGTGAATAAAGCTGGAGAGTAGTATTTTTAAATATAAATTAAGTTTTAAATCTGACGTTGATTTTCCCGCGCTGCGCACTGTAGTGATGGTTTTATGTGAGCGGAGAGTTGACCAGAGCTGAAGAAGGTGTTCTGTTGTCTATACATTGCAACATTGTAACATTAGACAGACACCTGCGTTATTTCTCGGACGTTTATTGTGTCCCCCTTGCAACACAGTACAACATGCTGAAGGTTCCTAGATGAAACACGTGGGTGGGAAACGTTCAGGATGTTGTACTGTGTTGCAAGGGGGACCCATTAAAAGTCAACACGTAGCTGTCTCCCAGGTGTTTGTGTTGAGCTTCTATATGTGTTTATAATGTACATATACAACAGGACATGGTGTCAGAAGGAGCAGCAGCAGGAGTAGCTTATGGCGGGAAAACTTTCTGATGCTCCAGATAAATAAAGAAACTGCGTCCAGAGGAAGGATTACTATCATATATATGGTGCTGTGGGCGGGAAACTGCTCCAAACAATAATTACCATAAAGGTAAGTTTAGAATAAAGATACAGTCCTGGTTTCCAGAATACTGATACTTCGTAATATACAAAAATTTGTATTTGCCTTTATTACATTCTGGCCCGTAGATGTCGCTCTGTTAACATGAAGCATCAAGAAATGAACCTTTTCTCGAACCACTTTGTTGGACTGGTTCAGTGTTTCATGACGCTTCATCTCACCATCACTACTTTCCATCCCTGTTAAACAGAGAAACAGCTTCAGTCTGAACTGAATGTTGACCGCCATGATGTGTTTTTCCTCCACCTGTGTCTTTACTCCTTCTCTTATGTTTAATGGTGGTTGGTGTGCCACCTTGTGGTAAAAACTCCCAGTTAAAATGTGGTGCCTTCTGTACACACATACAGTACATGCTGATATGAGAAGCTGCCTAGGCCAAAGCTGAATTCTTCACGATACCGGTACTAAGCACTTGCACATACATGTATACTATCCTTCATGTACATATATATATATATATATATATATGAATATGTATGTGTGCACTTCATAATGAATGTATACACATATGAAATATATAAATGTATACAAATGTGTATAACTGTATGACTTGCTACACCACAACATTATCTCACGGCACTTTACAGGGTATGGTAAAAACAAATGACAAAAAAACATGATGGCGTCAGGGAACCACTCTTGGCTCAGTGAGCAGTCTGCAGTCAGTAAGTAAAGTACTCGGATCTCCTCCTCTTCATCACGCCGTTCTCCAGGAACCCTCGTCCTCTTACATCTTGTTTGCAGAAGAAATCAACTACCAGGTACCGGAGGTAAGTCCGACAGCATCTGTGTTTTAGAGTTTACTCTATCAGAGATCCTGTTTGAGTGTGAAGATGGCTGACTTGTATGGTAAAGGCATAGGTTAAAACAATGAATTGAATGGAACTGAAACATTGATTGTTTGGGAAGAGCGTTACTCAGCACAAAGTTGAGACATTGAATGTTGTTATTGGTCTGTGTAAGTTCAGGCAGGTCGTTTTTTCTGAATGTACACCGATGAAGGCAACAGAACCACCTGCCCTCTGATTGGACTCTGCTTTGAGATTGGACTGGATACTACTACTAAATTAACTATTTTAATGAGGTCGTATTTGTCACTAAAGAGTGTTAGCTAGAATTAGGCATAGGGTTAAATAGGCTCTCATTTTCATTGGCACCAGTAAATACCACTTTAACCACAACCAAGTAATGTAAGTGTAACAGACTCTGCTGTGTTTGCTATGTGTTATGCTTTTTGAGGTGTGTCCCCTGGGAGTTACCGTAGGACTGCCATGAAGTGTTGGTTGTTGTTGTGTGCTTCTGTTTTACATTTGCACTGACTGTAATGCGTTCAGTTGAAAACCTGCATTTCTGATCAGCTAATTGCTCATTAAGGTGGGAGAATAGTCAAGTTACTGACTGTGTTTTGTTACACTGTATTGTTGTGGTTTTGCATTGCACATCACTATCTGCATTCTGTTCTCGCTCTGATTTTATTGTTGCCCTGGCTGGAAGTTGTGATTTGTATCTTTCCGCTGTTTAGACTCTATTATGTTTGTTATTATGTTTGCTATTTTGTTTGTTCAGCTGCTTTTACACTGTTACTCTGTGTGTGTGTGTGTGAGAGAGAGAGAGTGTGTACGTATTAAATTTACACACAAATATTAACATTTGAAACCTTTCCTTGTCTGCATCCAGGACATATGGAGTACATAGAGGTGCCACCTCTGCTGCATTCAGGACCCACCAGGTGTGCAGCTGTGCACAGAGACTGGTAGGCTGACATCCCCAAGGACTACGTGGCCACTAGGGAGGCAGTGCTGGCCAGCCCGAGCTTGGTGGCTCAGACCAACATCCAGCTCTTTGGATTGATTGGAATCAAATTAAGGACACAGTGGTAAGTTTGTCATAAAGCTGCTGTGGCAGAGCGGGGGCCACTGCCTGGAGGATAAACCTGCTGGCAGCCAACATCATGCATCTGCAGCAAGTGTGGCCAACCCAAAAGGATTGGCACAGACCACACTCACATTGCAGGTGTTTCAAATTATGTTAATCTTAATTTATGAGTTTATCTGACCTGAAAATTGTTAGTCGGGCAAGTTGTTGTAATTTGGAACCAGAAGTAGTAAACTTGTATCCTGCATTTAAGTATTTTCTTTGTTAATAGGATAAGCAGAATCCTGGTAAAAGTTTGAGATTCTTTTTTTTTCTATGGGTGCATAAAGAATGTAACATTTTTTATTTACCCTTTCTTTATTATTTTTGTGGTATGCATGGCACGGTATTTACATTTGTTTGTTGTACTGAAAAAATCATCCATCCATGAATCCTACCATCAGTTCCTTGCTGAATTTCCTGAACAGAATAAATGGTTAAATGGCTCTTGGATCCATGTGTTTAATGTGCACACCAGTCACCCCTGGTGACCTGAATGGTTTGATGAGGAAAATGATGTGAATCATAAACTGTGGCCTTCAGTCACCAGATCTCAACCCAGTTTAACAACCACTGAAGCTGTTTTGGTCCAACACCTTACTACTACACTTTATCTTGTTTTTTTTCTTATTCGTATTATACATCACTGAGATGTTTTATTATATATTTATATATATATATATATATTTTTTTTTTATATAGATGTCTCCATTTATTAGGCTGCCACATTTACGGACCCAACACTTCCTCAGTCATGTTGGTTGGGTTAAGCTGTGCAACAACCCCAAAGCCTTTTATGTTTTCCAACCATATATGGAACCGACCCCTTCACCTCTCCCCACCACCTTTATAAATAAGAATGAACGGTAACGTGCACATAGCAAGTGTGTGAGAGAGTGACACAGGCTTGTATACATATATAGCCCTGTTAACCTAAAGTAACAAATTAAGTAACCTTACTCAAATTAATAAATTGAATAGCTACTTACATGATTTTATAATAACTCCAATATTCATTGGAAATTTATTCCGCATCAGTTGTGGGCTAGCGGAAAATCCTATAGCGGTTATGAATTATGTTCATTATTTAGACAGGATGTGTATTTATTTATTTAGCTTAGCCTTCCTTAAATTTACCGCTGCAGCCAGCACGTTTGTTCAAAACGCGCAACCTTTACTTTGAAGACGAGCTGTCTCTGTTTCCGGCTCTCGACTTCCTTGTTCGAGTTTTATTGTACAAGTTGGATAGTGGAACAAACTGACGCTTTGGTGCGCTGAATTGAATTGCACGTCTTCATTCAGTGGAACAAAAACACGCAAAGTGTTAACAAGCGTTAAATGAAGAACAAGCTCACAAACGTCAGATTGTACTTGAACACACCAAGCGTGCGTGGCACCGTTGCCATGGGAACGAGAATCCGTCCGTAAACAAACGAAAAAACGCAACCAAGGCTGAAAACGCCAGCTAAACAGCTAACTAGTTAACGTTAGTTTATCATTTGTCAGCAAAATGGCGTCGTCTGAAAACACTACGGAAGAAGTTTCGACTATTAAAATAACTGTTGTTCGTGGAAATAACCTGGTAAGCCCGTTCAACGTTAGCATAAGTAATAAACTACACATGCTAACGAACTAAGCTAAACTACCTCAAATAATGTAACGGCTAAAGCAACAGAGGTGTGCTTACACGGTGTTGATGAATGTGCATTTTAGTTAGTTAGCTAAATAAGTAAAATTTAAAAGGACGATAACTTCGAGAAAGCTATGTTAGGACCTATTTAGTGTAGTTTTTGGTCGAACAACGTTTTTAACCAACAGTTTTTATTTAACAGTGGTTCAGTTTTAAACTATTAAGTCTAAGGTAAGACTGGCTGCCGGTGTTCTACACTGAAATGGCAATTTTTACGTAAGTACTATTATTTGACAGAGTCGGTTACTACTTACAGAATAAGATTATTGCACACAAAATATATGAAAAGCTAATGGAATATGATGCTTTATTAGAAATTAATTAGTACAGTTGAAACAATTAGTCGATTAACTGATTGGTCAAAATTAATTAGCAGTTATTTTGGTAACGATAAAAGTCATTTTTTCATGCAAAAATACTAAACATTTCATGTTTCCAACTTCTCAATTTTGAGGATATGCTAATCTTTCAGATTACATTAATTTTAGATAAATTGACTATTGGTTGAACAAAACTGTTCAATTTTTACAAATTTATCAATCAATTAATTGAGAAAATAATTCATAATTCATTAATTGCAGTTCTATACAACATAGTTAGTATCTAGCTCCATCTCAACCAAGTACAGCAGTAAAATCCTGCTTTATATAAATACATAAATGATAATCTGATGATACAATATCAGGGTAAATTCTCATCCAACATTCATTACCATCACCTCTGATCCTTTTTCTGCATCTTTGCCAAATGATAAAACTCAAAGTGAGCTGATGTGTATTTTCCCAGTTCACCCCTCTATATATTTTTTAAAACCTATATTTCCTAATTGAACATTGAGCAGTATTTGTTTTCACTTCTCACTGCCGTACTCACTTTTCAGAGACATCAAACCAGATGACTGATCAATCACCATTAGGGTTTGGCGGCATACCAAGGGCTGAGACTCATTGGATATGCCTTTGACATTATGTCAAGTACATGTTACTTGAACTGAATAGATTGTATGAACTTTAGTGTAATTAAAAGATTATTGTGTCATTTAAAATAAACAAATGACTGGTGGAAAAATCGACGACACTGGAAGACTAGTGTGTGGATGATAGTATCCACCTACTGTTAAATATTCTTTTTCTTCTCTTTTTAGCAAGGGAAAAAGGCAGGAAACTTCCAGAGTTTTCTGAAGGTTGAAATGGATGGAGTGGTGCTGGGAGAGTCGGAGAAGAAGCAGTTCGATCCTATGGAGCAACGTGTTGACTACAACTTCACCTGCAGCTTCCACTGCCCCAGTGATGCTCAGGCTCTCAGTGACATGGCACATAAACCGATCATATGTGAGTCGAGTCTAAAAAATGTTTCTCTGTCTCCTGACCACGTAACTGACAGTTGAGCTAAGCAGCGTTTTTCTCTGTCTCCTCTTTCAACTTTCAACCAGTGTCTTCTTGATAGCCACACTTAGCTTAGCGGTTAAGGTCCACATGATGCACCAACAGGAAATGGCACACATCCTAGAAACAATGAAATACACAAACATCAGAGAAGCAAATTTATAACACTGTTATATTCTTATTTTAGCATAGAAAATATTTCACATTGCTGGTCTGCAACCTGTTTGTAAGTGAGTTTGTAAGCTAAATGTTATATAAGTTATATTTATACCAAGCTGAGAGTTGTACCCTAAAGGTTTAACCACACACAGTAGTATTTACACAGAGTTTAGTTTCCTAATATTTATACCAACACAAGCCAGTTACAAGAAAATTCCAGTATATACCTTCATTGTTACACTGGTTAACTATTTTTTGTTTATTGTTGATGATAGCATAATTGGTAGGTTTGTCAATCACCTGCCATTATCCTGCCAGGATGTCCAGTCCGCCATGAATCACTGCCAAAAAACTTGAAGATAGTGACAAGTCTACTGCAGCTTAAACTAACACAATTATACAGAATCATTTTAATAACAGTGGCTGTAATTTACTGAGTGGTGAAAAGAGAAGAAGGCCTGGAATCTTCTTCCCTGTCTGTATAGCCCTCAGTTTTCACAGCACTGTTTTTTTAAAGTTTTAAAATGGTTTTGTTGTGGTCAGTGACGATCACAGAGGTCCTGCCTGAGGAGAAGAAAATGGAGGCACGGACAGTGGTGCTGGGCCAAGCTGTGGTCGATCTGCTGCCACTGCTGCAAGGTACAGCTGCACACTTGATATAAAATTATATCTTTTTATATTGTAATAAGACAGGCTGGTGTCTCTCCCCAAATCTCAGCTGCTCTCTGTGGATTTTCTCTCCTGTCTTCAGGTCAGTGCAGTTTCTCGTCCACTGTCCCAGTGAAACCAGTGACCAGCCCCCCAGTCAAAATATCCTCCCAGGTTAGTTTGTTAAAAACTATCACTCAGTTTTTGTCAGGAGCAAATTGATATCGCTCTTCAGAGTTATGTTTAGTTATCTGTTCTGAATTTAAATTAAATAAATCTTGTTTGTAGGTTTTTTTGCTGAGTTCTGCCTTTGAAGTTTCTCTACTAAATTTGGGTTGTGTATTGTGGCTGGCAGGTGGCCAAGTCCTAAACGATACAAGATAAGATAAAGACATTTTACAGTGTTAAACCTCATAATGACATTTCTAGACAATTTAATTAAACCGTTTATTAAAAAGAAAACGTAAATGTGCCTTACTGTTTGACCTCATGTAGCAGTCGACCCTGGATGTGTGTGTCAGTGTGTCGGCTCCGGTTCTGTCTGAGGCTGAGCTCTCTGCCTCCAACCTGCTGAAGGTAACCATAGAGACGGCCTACTCCATCCCCGAGTCATGGATGCTGCTGTCTGGCCCCGCCCCCACTCCCTCCTCGTACACTGCTGCCTTGGAAGTCCCACTTACCGCACAGGTGGCTGCTTTTCACGTAGCTACTTCAAGCCATTTTACTGAACAGAACCAATGACATTTCTTTTGTTCAGAGTTTAGGCAAGTGTAGAGCAGCTTCAAATACGAATCTCTCCAGTATGAAGGATTGTAACGCTGTGGCCGCCCTATTCCTCTGACTCCCAGAAAGATCAGGTGCTGGTGTTCTGTGAAGGGCAGCTGAAGGCAGGGGGGCACAGGGAGGAACAGGGCAGACAGAAGAAGAGGCCCCATCAGGCTCTGCTGGTCCCAGGGAACCACTTCATGCCCGGGGCCTTTTTCCAGGCAGAGCCCATCGAAGAGGAGGACGGCGAGCTGACTGGCTTGGAGGTAACTGGAAACATGGCCCTCACCTGCACCATCAGATATTTCACATTTAACGAGTATGAGTGTTTTTAAAGAAAAGTTTAAAGAAATATCTAATGCACAGAACACCGGACCCTCTACACACAGGACATGCAGCGTAATGTCTGAATATGATCATTAATGAGGAACTTAAAAGTAGGGAAGGATATCGAGTACTGTAGAAGGTTAGAACAGCATGGAGGCGGGTTCAGTCAGTTCCAGGACTGAAGGTCTAAATGTTCCCACAGGACCGGGAGTTTCGTGATGAGGCAGAAGCCACTAAGAACAGGGTGAGCTGGGACACTGAGATGTGCTGCCTCCTGGATGGAGGAGGAACTGACAGGTCAGCTACACACACGACTCACTTCTCCCCCTCCTCCTCATGTCTGCCCATCATGCTGCCTGTTGGCCATGACTATGAAGAGATTATTTTTAGAAAGGGAAAGTCAGTGAACCTGGGATTTATCTGTGTGAATTTGAAATGAACAGGTTTAATACTTAGAATAACAATCCCTGTAAAGAAAACATATAGGAAGAACATCAGAATACATGTGAGTGAATTGCATTGGGTGTTGAAATAATACAAGCAGGAAAAAACAGACACAGAAAAAGATATCAGACATCAGTGTCGACTGTAACTTCAGGCTACGGCAGAGGATCGCTGAGAGCAGACTGTGGCCGGTGGAGATCACGAGGTTGTTGGCTCCGCTTGGAAAGGAAGCAGAAACCAAGCAGGTGAAACAGCTTTGTTTTTATCAGTAGTGTTGTGTATTGGTTCTCCAGTGTGAGCTCTGTGGCCTGAACCAAATGTAAGACAATTCGGGACATTATCTATGAACATTTAGTTGTTTGAAAGAAACATTTTGAGTAATCATACCTGTGTGTGTGTGTGTGTGTGTGTGTGTGTGTTTAGCTAGCTGAGGAGAACCCAGAGATCCCCTTCCACGGCGTGGCGTTTGTGGACATGGGGCGGCTGCTGTATCCCGGAGTCAGCTGCGTCCGAGGAGCATACAGCATTCAGCCGTTCTCTGAGGCCGAGTTACTGAACAAGGTCGCACAAGTTTAGTTACTGTTTGGGATGTATACAGCACAGCCCTGATGTCATGTGTGATACACAGAATTACTCAAAATCATCTACTAAATAACTCTTAACACTGCTTGTCATTTGTCGTTTATCTTGTGCTTAAAGGCCAAGCGGAGTGTCAGTGTGTTAAAGGAGCAGGCCAAGGCTGCAGCCAACCAGATCAAAGCTCGTGCCAGCTCGGCCGCTGGCTCTCACAAGGGGAGGGCCGGGAAGAACTTGGATGGCAACAAGGGAGCCAAGGATTCAAAGGAGCCAGCCAAAAAGGTTAGAAAGGTCCTTGTGGTCAGGACTCGGACGAGAAATTCATTTTTGCATTAAAGTTTAATTAACAGAATTTCAAAGTGCTTGGGAAATCATAAAAGATATGAACTGATATAAACCAAGTGCTTAAAAGTTTTTGAAAGCTTTCCAACCAGAGCAAAAGCCAGTGGTTGATTTTCTTTCACCTCTCACACAAATGATTTCACCAGGATTTTAACAGCTTTGTTTTCTGTCTCACCAACAATAATCCTGGAAGTGGTTAAATTTGATATTCAGGTTGTGTTCGTGAAGTTTGGACCCTGATATAATATGATTTTATCATCTCAGCAACCTGCCAATCATAGCAAGACAACATCCGAGAGCGTGACCGACAGCCTGACCGAAACCGAGCCGCACGTCAATACAGAGGGAAATGTAAGTTTCCACCAAACACCAGCACAACTCTGCTCAGTATTACAGTAGAAGTAAAACTTTGGTTGTAGTTGTAGAACAGGAGCGATATCAATAGAAGCTTAACATTCAAATGTACGTCCTTAATATTGTAATATACTTTAAACAGTTTACAAGCTTCCTGTTATGCAATATTGTGGAAGCCGTCTGAACATTAACATCTCATTCCTGTTAATGACAGATGTACCTGGAGGCCAGAACTTACATTATCATTGAGATAGCCTTGGAGAAACCGCTGGTACCCAGAACGTCTCCAGAGGAACTGAGCAGAAGGTAACGTGGTACACAACTCCTCCGAGAGTCTGACCTGGTTCTAGTGGTGACACTGTTCATGTGGCCCCGAGCTATCAGAACATGTACCCTTCTGAAGCCAACTAGTCATAGTATAGTTATAGTATAGTTATAGTATTGTTTGTTTGCAGACCCAGTTTCACCCTGGTCTGTTATATTTGGTTTTTGACCCTTGTGTTTCTGACTGACTGTGGAACATGAATGTGGGAGAATGTGCTGAGATGTGTCTCTGTTTCCTGCAGGGTGAAGGCATTAATCCCTCCCAGACCGCCACCTCCAGCGGGTCCTAGCAGAGCAGAAAGAGTAAAACACACACACACACACACACACACACACACACACACACAGTAAATCACACATCAGTGCAGAGTTGTTTACTTTCTGATTTGTCTCTACCTGTGTGTGTGTGTGTGTGTGTGTGTGTGTGTCTTCCTGCAGGCAGTGCTGGACTTCCACAGGCAGGTAGCCAACGTGATGTCCCATGTTTCAGACCAGTATGAGGAATTGTTTGGAGCGGGAGGCGAACCGTTGCAAGACAGCAGCCGGGAGCAAATGAAGGTTCAGCTGATGGGAGCGCTCAACGTCTCCGGGAGGTACTTCGCCTTCAAGGAACAGATGAAGGTCAGAACAGCTGCACACGTTACAGGTGGACTGATGAAACTTGCAGGAACTCAGACAGTACTATTTTGTTTCTGGTGTGTAGCATGCAGTGGTGAGGCTTGTACGAGACAAGATGCAGAGGACAGCGCCAATCACTGACCCTGAGGAGCTAAAGGCTTTTGTCAGCAAGCTCTATGTCTACCTGGTGGATGAGATGCACATAGCTCTCGGCAAGGTAACACACACACACACATATAAACACAAACACACACACTCACACAGAGACGCTCAGTTTCGTCCTCTCCTCCTCACCAGATTTATTCAGATGACGTAGATGATGATGACTCCTCGGACGTGATCCTGTTGAGTTCGTCTCAGCTCAGACGTTTTGCCAGGGAGGCTCAGCTTACAGGGGATTATCAGCAGGCTGCTCAGTACTACCAAGAGGTGCAGTAACATGCTCGCCCTTCCTGATACACCTGCTCTTCACTCACAATGAATGAGGAAAAAACCTATTGTATATAGTGTAGTCACAACTATACTCACGAAAATAGGTAAATAGGTGATATAGGTAAAACAGAGCGACAGCCAATCACAGACGGCCATTTATTCACTGTTTTTAGACCGTAAACAGCTTCTGATTGTCTTTAATTCTTAGAGGATATCTGTGGGTTTTTGGTTTTGTTTGTTGCATCAGGTGTCCACCGAGTCATGTTGCAGCTGTGATTGACGATTATGACTCCACTGAGTGTGGGTTTATTTTCCTGCAGCTGGTGGTGAGACACCCCCGTGAGCCCTCCCACATGTTTGAGTGGGGGAGCCTATACATGCTGACTGGAGACTACATGAAGGCCAAAGAGTGCTTCCATGATGCCGTGTCCATCCAGCAGGAACACCAGCCCAGGTCAATCACGCTCCAGTGACGCTAAAAACCATGAAATATCTGCAGAATATCAAGCTTGAAACAAGTGGTTCCTGCTTTGTGGAGCTGCGTGATTGTGTCTTACGAGAGAGCCACGAGCTCAACACTGTACATCACCATTATTCATCCACCTGCTCCTAATCAGTGCTAATTATAGTAACAACATTAATGTTTAAATACTCATTAACTTCCTGCCATGATGTTCTTCACCTGCACCATCACTTCATGTCTATAACTAGAGATGAACGCTCACTTGTCACTTTGACTTTGCATCACAACCAATACGAAGAGAAGAGGTAAATTCTGTCCACTGGAAGGCGACTGAACGGTTTTGAACGATGTGAATTTAAAATCAAGACTTGCCTGTTTGTCTGTATTTTTTTATTCCCTCCAGCCTGATGATGTGTGGCGTCTTGGCTGCAACGTTTAAGCATTATGAGGAGGCCCAGACCTTCCTGGAGCAGGCCGCCAGCACAGACCCCCCCAGTGTGGTGGCCTGGACGCTGCTGGGTGAGGTGGAAGTCTGTAGTCCGACTCGCTGCTGTTTAATGCTCACGCTAACAGAGAAAACACATAGCCTGCTGCTGCTACACTCGTTTGTCACGTGTCAGAGATCAGCCAGTCATTGATGTCTACCCTCAGTATGACGGAGGCTCCTCTGAAGTTTGAGCTGCACAAGACGCTTTGAATGATATGGTCGATGTGTGTTTTTTATTAGACAGTGGAGAGACAGTGGAAACTTAGGTTGGTACAATAAACCTGTGACTTAAATTCATTATTCTGGTTCCAGTACAGAATATTACTCTTCAAAATGCCAATTCAGAGTAATTTTTAAAGCTATTCTAAAGAATAATCTTAAACAGGCATTAAAAACATTTACACAATCCCCCACAAACTCATTTCTGATCCTGAATAACCCTGAGCAGCAAAGCAGGAAGGACGCATGCTGGCAAATGTACAGTACGGTCTTATTTCTTGTTTCGTTGTCTGCTGCCCAGGTTTACTCCACGAGAGCCAGAACCAATCCATCCTGGCGGAGAGGGCTGTTCTGGAGGCCAGGAGGCAGCTGAAGGCAGACGAAGCAAAGGAGCAAGCACAGAGGGAGGAGGAGAAGAAAGACAGCGACAAGAAAAATGAGGAGGAAAAAGACCAGCTAGAGGAGGTGGAAGCAGCCAGTCCTCCGTGTCAGTCTCCCACTGTTAATCAAGGTGAGGTGCAGCAGGAGGACAGAGTGTATTGTCTCTTCATCTGAATGTGATGATGCCTCAGCAGAAAAGCAGAAATGTGAGAGGAAACTCTGGCATCAAATCTGTGACTCCACAAGGCTGAAACTTACATTTTAAACACAAAACATAAAGTAAATGATGAAAATCACTGAAATCTGTTCACACACAAAACATTCACGTTATTGATATTTACCGAAGATTCACAAATAACAGCCTTTTGGTTTTGTCTTGAAGCGTTTGAGAAGACGAGTTCTCGCACTCCTAAAATGTAGATAAAAGAAATATTGATATACAACGTCTCACATTCAGTCATAATGTAATCTCAGTCTGTACAAAGGTTTAGATGCTTTCTCTTGGCAAGAAGCGCCTGGAAAGAAGCCTTGCCTGTCATGCACTTACTGATGCTCTCAGTGCACTTCAGCCTGAGATGCATGTACCAGATGTTGTGGGTCCCTGGAGCCGCAGATGTTGCCTGACAGTATTGCTGTAGTATTATTATTATTTTCTTGTCCAGCCCCAGAGTTTGTTGACGAGGACTCAAAGATGGACAAAGAGCAGAATCTCAGCCCCGGATCAGTTCCTGCAAAGTTTTCTACCACCGTTTACACAGAGGCTGTCCAGTTCCTGCTGCAGAACAATGCCCTGCAGGTAAAAACACACTTAGCAGCAGGTGCTTTGTCAAATCACCTTGGACGGATAAGAACAACCTACAATGTACAGTAGTGCTGTGGTGTCATTTCGTGACCCTCAGTTTAGAGTGTTATTGAAAGTGATTTATGACCATTACTGATGGTTCAACACCTGGCGGACAGTTGACGGTGTATTATGTAATATTATATAAATCCATTGTCACACATAAGACAAACTATAAGCAAACATGGACTTCATGAAAATGCATAATATGAATTTGGTTTGCTGTTTATTTATTTATGACTTTGTTCCAGGTTTGTTTGTTTGTTTTACTCTTTTTACACTTATCGGTGTGATCTTGCATTTTGTGCTTGTGTGACGACATCGAGAGAGTGTGTCGACAACGTTTGGCTGCTTACTTTGCAGTCCTAACTTATATGTGGCAAGCTTTTGTTTGTGATCGTCAAATGAAGTTTATTGAATTGAATTATTTGTTTACTTACTTAGGTATTTATTTATTTGGATTCCGATTAGCCACCAAGGTAGAAACTGCTCTTCCTGATGCTGAAGTCTAACCCTAACCCTCTAACAGGGAGAGTCTCTGCAAGTATTTTCTCAACATGCTGAAATGAAGTGACACCAGTGACTACCTGGAACTGGCCTTGTCAGCAGTAGTTTAAGTTCTAACAAAAATAAAATGTAAAACAAAATCGGTCATCTGCTGATGCTGTTCTGTTGTTGTCAGATGGCAGAGCACGCCCTCTCCCAGGAGCTCCTGTGTTCACACGGCGGTCTCAGCGTCTCATACCTGCTTCATCTGGCCCAGCTGCAGCTGCTCAAAGCCGACTACTGCAGTGCGGCTGCGAGCCTCAGGGAGGCGCTGTTTCACAGAGATCAGGTACTCGCACACTGACTGCTGGCTGCAACACTGAGTGGGGACTTAGTGGAAAATGTGACATGTATGTTTGCTGCTTCTTTACTGCTCTGTTAAAGTCCACAGGCTTTAATTGAACACACGTTTAAACAGCCACAAAGATCTAGTGCTGGAATTCTGAACTTCTTTCACCTCATTGTTGTTTGTGTCTCAAAATTATAACGGACTGACCTGGTTACATGAATTTGAATATGTTATATATTTATGTGTGTTTTATTTTGAAATCATGATGTTAATCAGCATCAACTGAAGAGGTGAAACCTGACAGAGTAATCATTTTTCTAATTAGCAGAGTGTTTGCCTTCCATCATACATATGAATAGAATATTTATATCATTAAAAGATGTCACAGATTTCAAAATAAGATACGTAACAATCTGTGCTCATAAGTATTTAACCTTTACTCAGGATGAAGGACATCACCGTTCCTGGTTTCTGCGATAACATTAGAGTTATTTTCTAACAATGCTGGAAGTGAGACTCAGAAGCAGAGAAACGAAGGCGAAGTAAAGTTCAGAAACAGGTGGTTATACACAGGAAGTCAGTTTGAAACAGGTAAACAATAACAGGCAGGGAGCAGGTAAAAATGCGGGCGGGAACTGAAACGACAAGCGAGGTGAGTATTTCAAAATAAAACAGGAAACAAGACGTAATGAACTTAACTGGATGTTAGAGTTATATATGTGACCACACAGCAGTGGCAAAGTAAGATCGGTCAAACAAGCATCTCCTCTGAACACTGACCTGAGAATCGCTGCAGGATCCGGACGCGTGGGCTCTGAATGGTCACTGTCACTACCTGCAAGAGGCGTTCAGGGACGCCCAGTGGAGCTATGAGCGGAGCCTGAGCTTCCTGCAGCAGCCTTCAGACATTCACCTTGTCCTCCTCCGCCTGGGATCCATCTACCTCCAGCAGGGGCAGGTCAGATATTGAGACGAGCTTCACGGTTGTCTGATCAGCCAGACAGTTTAGTCATGTGCTCTGTATCTGCTGATGAGTGTTTCCAGACAGGCTGCAGGTTTCACCAGTCATTCCTAAAGTTCAACCAAAACTAGAAACTCTGATCTGCTGTAATGAAGTTTTCCAGTCAAAGTAAGTTTTTCTAAAATTGCAAAATTGGCCAAAAAGTCACAAGGAACAGTGCTTTTTTTAACTTCCAGCACAGCTATGTTCAAGTTGATATTGTGAGTACGAGAGAGTGTCATGAAAAGAGCACTGTGCTGCAGAAATCACAGTTATTATAGAATTTAAATTTAAAGCTCATCATTATACTTAGAAAACATGATTTACACAGAGTCACTCAATCTGTTATTTTTGTGTTTTTAACCTTCAGTTTGAGCAGGCCAAAGTCATCTACCTGCAGGCTTGTAAGCGGTCTGCATCCTGCCTGACCTGGCTGGGCCTGGGCACCGCCTGTTACCGGGTAAAACCTCACCTCCACAACAATGATGGAAATGATGTCGACCCTGAAAATATGTTTGATTTAGTTCCTTGATTAAGCTCCTAAGGAGTCGTGTATATTGAACAACGTAAAGCAGCGAACATCCCCTCGGCACAGTGATCACACTCAACCTCTGAAAAGTCTGGTAGCAGTTTCTTTTCTACTGTGAACAAAGGTTAACAAAGCAAACGAGGAGTTACTGGCGGCCATATTCTTTCATTTACTTTGAAAGGAAGTGAGCGTTTGGTTGTGGTTGTGTTTGTTTTTGTGTGTCTGTCTGTGAAGCTGGAGGACCTGCACATAGCTGAGGAAGTTTTGACTGAGGCCAACCACCTGAACAACCAGAATGCAGAGGTGTGGGCTTACCTCTCTCTGATTTGCCTCAGGGTGAGTGATGACGCTCTCTGAAAGTTATATTTCATGACAGAATGTGAAACGATGGGCCGACACACGTCTGTGTAACCTGTGGTTGTTAGTATCTCACCATCCTCCAGGTATCCCCCGATCTGGGACACAGTTAAACACAGATTCACTTTCCACCGTCTGAAAACCCCTGATCTAATTATGTGATGAACCTTTTGTTTTCAGTCCGACAGACGAGAGGAAGCAGAGCAGTTTTATAAATATGCAAAAAGGGTGAGTTTGTCTGGTGGTTTTGTCAGTGAATACTGTACTGTTATTGATTTATTATTGATAAAGTCAACAAATAAACGCCCAACAATTTCAGTGGTTTCTATATTAAACATAAAACATAAAAGTATTTGATAATTTTTTAACTGAATAGAAAATGGCTTCATGGAGATTTCCTTGTTTGTTTGTATTTATCATTAATTTTGTCATAATGTAATTTCAATTTGTCGCTGTCGTTCAAGACGGATTTGAGAAGTCAGCGTTCTGTTTTCATTTCACTCCCGTTTCTCTTGGTTCACAGTTCAACCTGCAGAAGGAGTCGCTGCTCAAAGAGTTCGACGAGCTGAAGAGCCGGCTCCGCTTCAGTCATCTGGTTTCATGCTTTGGAACGAGCTCTGAAGCGGGACTTTAAATCAGGTGACCGGCATTTTAAAAGAACATTTTTATTGTATATGTATTAAGATCTTTTGTGAATATGAAACACAAAACAGCCCAGATTTTACAGACATTGGAAATCAACAACTGGCCAAGCCATCCACATACAGTTAAACCCTGTTCAATACAGACTGTACAAACAAACTCAAATGGTCTCAAATGTATATAAAACAATTGCAATATAGTCTTTTTTTAAAAATGTACAGCATTAACAAAAGAAAAGAAAAAGGGCATGTGGTGACTGATATCAACAGAATGCTTTAAAAAAAAAAAAAAACATGATCTCACTCTTCATCCTTTTTTACCATCGAAACAGAAAACCTCCTGAGACGCTCCGGCCTTGCTACGATAATAAATCTTACCAGATTTTGGCACAGTCCTCCTTACACTGGAAGGAGATGTAATGTGGAATATATTGTTTGGCTACCATCCCCATCGAATAGATTTATAATAAATGTGTTGCAAGTAGTGCATCTTAAGCGGGAATGTTTATTTTTGTCTTATTTTAAATTTCCAAAATGTAACTGTGACTGTAAATGTATAGCAAATAAATTTTATGCACCTTTAATACAACACTACTGACGTGGCCAATTCTTACATTGTACGGATTTTAAATCCAAACTTTGTAACATTTGGTTTCCATATGGACAATTACTTTTTAATGTGCCATCGCACTGGTTTTGGCCTCTGTGGCTCCGCTGCAGTGAGATCACTGTCGGACTTGAGCGAAGACTTCTCGCAGCCACGGTGAATCCTCGTAGAGGCGAGGGTCACCCAGATACTCTGAGGTCCTCTTGTAGAAGTAGTAGTACAACACAGACGCTGTGAACAGGAGAATATTATTTTATTATTAATAACATAAAGATGAAAACATAGAGAACATGTTTCAGGCTTTTGAATCACTATAGAAGTGCTCTGAGCGAGACGTTTGAAACCCAAAGCAGCAAAAGAAAAACTAAATGAAGTGGATCATTTCTGCCGCTAAAGTTTTGTCTGTTTGTTTCCTGTTTTCTGTCTCTAGAACGTCGTCTGTCACATACAGGCAAAGCTGCTGCATTAACTTTCATCGTTGTCGTAACAGTCAATAATCAATAATAATAATAATGATCAACAAAACTTGAATTACTTGTCAGTCAGTCCTTCACACTGAATCACATCAGTTCCTGTTGAGTGGTGATGAGTGATCATAACTCCACAGTTAAAAGATAAATGCATAGAAACATGACAAATTTCATTAGTGTGATTAGTTTTATTATTTCCCCCTTTTCGTTTGTGTGACTGCTGAAGTCAGGCTCCTGTGTCACTGTGCACAATGTTTGAAGGGGTTTTTAAATGTTACTTGAGGGATAACACGTGATTGTATGTGATTGACATTAGCGTTGCATGAACAGGGAGAGAAATCCCCACCAGCTTTTACAGCTGTCTGCAGGATGATTGTCTGAGTGAGTGTCTCAGCCTCAGTGTGTTGGTTCATAATGAAGGAGATTTTGTGAAGTGATGATGCAACGCTGAGTCACACTGAGTAACTGTTTAAGTGGCTCTTAAAATACGTAGCAGACAAATAAATTATGGCGACAGCAGGATCACCTGCAGAGAACAACTAGACAATAAATCCCTTTATCCAATTATGAGCTTATACGTGTATGAAAATCACACACACACACGGCGACGTGAGGTCTCTGTTGGTGGAGAGGACGGACGAACATGCTCTGAGATGTCTGTCCGCGAGATCAAAACCAGAGCGATAATCACACAGAGATACTGTTTTCTCCCTCATCTTCTCACTCTCTTCTAACTCCAGGAAACAGTCTCCGATCTAAGATATAACTTATATAATAGCACTGCCATGGCGGCTTCTCTTTTTTTTTAAAGGTAGTTTGTGAATACGATTAAAACTTCAAAACTAAAACTAAAACATTCAAAATAAATACACGTCTTACCGGTTCTCTGGAACACAAACAGCACCTGAAGGCCGTCTGTCCAAATAAATCTGTTGGTGTTCAGCCAACGCAGATTCTGGAGAGATTATATAGAAAACAGGAAGCGTTACTCTGCTTTTAATTAAAGGACATAAAGGGTGAAAACACAATGCTCGATACACGACTTCTAACTTCCAAATTAAAAACAGACTGATGACAACATTTGTTGACGGGCTGGAATTTGAAGGCGTTAAGATGCAGATTTAAAATTTTCCTAGTCTCATATTGTTGTTCTGTCAAACACATTTTACCCTAATTCTGTCAAATTTGCAGGATTTTTTCTCTTTATTAAAGTCTTTTTTCTTCAACAATACGCTAACAGCATATAAAAAAAAAACAAAAAAAACACTAAATGGAATAAAAGTTTACACTTTAATATGATGTATTTTTGCCTGTTTGTGCTCTTACGCACCATGAGCCAGGAGTGGAGAATGATACTGAAGGTCAGGTAGAGAGCAGAGAGCATTAGCAGAGCTCTAAATCGCTCCAGCAATATGGCGACCAGGCCGACCTGGAACACGAAGGTGTTAAACAGCATCAGCAGAATGATGATCAGGTTGAACAGGATGGCGATGTCCTGGATGCTGTCGAAGAAAAGAAGACAAGGGAGGAAGAAAATGTGAGATCAGCAGAAACAAAGAGGATAATTCAAGTCATTCCAGCATCAGATGTGACTCAGTGCAGACAACTAAACCGGACTATTTTTAGCTCAGAATAGTTTTCCCCCTGAGCCACAGATAATGTTTGGCTGTTGTGTTGTAACAGTGAGTAACTCTTGCTTACATAAAAAGCACCAGCTGGACGGCTGGTTCCGCCCTGAGCAGCTCGCTGAAGGAGTTGACAAACAGGTCGAAGGAGAGCAGGCTGAGCTGAATCAGCAGCACCAGAGAGTAGTTTCCGGTTTGGAGCGACTCCGGCCCGAAGGCTGGGCGCCCGGGCGGACTGTGGTTCCACGATGGATCCAAGGCTGCGCTGCACTCGCACACTCACCACATAGAAACATCAATCCGCACACAGCAGTCCCGACTGTTAGCGAGGCGTTCGAGCGGCTCCACTCTGTGGGTGAAGTGTGAGCGATACAACATTAGGGCTCCATTTTCTGTTGTCAGAACTAGTCCTGCTCACTTGGGAAAAACTGAAGTCCGTTCAGAGCGGGAAACAGAGTCCGGTGTTGGGATGAGCTGACTGGAAAACACAGATGTCAACATGTCACGACTGTGTACTGTTACAGATGTGGCGGCTCAGGTGTGGTGACAGCCTCCTGCAGCAGGTCAGAGGTCAGTGCCCATGATACATCCAGCAGAGATTCTGTGGAAGGAAACAGGAGACACATGAATATCCTGCTGAAAAACATGATAACTCATTTTATTCCTGCTCTACATGCACTCAACACAGAGACTTGATTTGATAAACTTATCGACAGATTTCCACATGGAGTGAATCTATTTAACCGCTGAATGTTGGCGCTCCTCCAGGAGGTGTGGACCTCAGTTACAGTAAAACATTCAACCTTTCTGACCCGATCGACGCCTTTTGAAAAACCTGGCATCAAATATTTGGTCGAAGAGGAAGTGGACAACAAAATAAAAACTTTTTTTAAATCCTGGAGGGCGGGGCTTCTAGTTGCAGCATGTGCAACAGTGACTTCAGCATGAGTAACCTGCAACTGCCCTAAACCAGTCACGGTTGTCTGGTATTAAATGAGGCCTGGCGTGTAGAGGACTGAACACATCTCACGCTGTGTCGGTACAAGCAGAATATATTAACAGCTTCACCTCGAGTGGAATCTGTCCTTTCAGATAAGTTTGTGTTTAGTTTTTCACATTTTGAGACATCCAGCTGAGATGTGTGACTCTCTGTTGCTGTCATTAGTTTTCACTGGAGCAAAGAAATAAAACTTTTCTGTGCCTTATCCTGAGCTACTGGATCGTTGATTCTGGAAAGAGGAAATATTTTTAATTATTATTTTTTTAAGCACTGATAACCACCTCCACCATTGTACTGACACGGATCTTGGCCACTCAAAACCCGGACAAATAAAACCACAACAATCCAGACCAATATAGGCGAGTATGAAAAGGTTTTTTTTTCTTTTTGTAATTTGGGTGAACCAAACTTTAAACTTTAAAACACACACACAAAAATACCTCCACAACAAGCCCCAACATGGATTACAGTGAAATCAAATGACATCAGGAAACATACAGTTTACCGTTGAAAAGAAAACCGGCTTCTCTCCCAGCATCCTTTGGTGATGATATCCCAGAAACACAGAAGAAGAACAAACAGATCCTGATCGTTTCCTTCTCATCCACTCATCAGACTGAAGAGGAAACAGATTCCTTTCACTACTGTTGCCACCGCTGGGAGTACTAGTTAAGTAAACCTTCACCTTGGCTCCTCTGGCATCTTGTGAGCCACGATCACTATCCAACTGACACCAGGTGGATCCTCTTATGACCCCCCTCCCCCTCCCTGTATTTATAGCTTGGCACAGCCATGGCAGGTGTGAGGAAGATTAGAACTACTTCCAAACACTGGAGCGTCGACCAGGAGACGACACTGAGATTCTGGGTTAGCAGCTCTACATGTGAAACCCAGAGAACCAGAGGGAATAAGACCAGTGTCGAAGGCGAAACATCCTCAAGGTTTTTCCAATTCTACGGATTCTTCACGAGAATCAGAGAGGAAGAGTCATAAATTCCTACTTTTTTAAAATTTGATCCAGAATGTGTCAGATATTTAATTTTCCTTTGACAAGCGTGGTGGTGTAATTCAGAAACCCTGTTGTTGTTGTTGTTGTTGTTGTTGATGATGATGATGATGTGCCCCCAGCTTGTCGTTCTCAGCTCTGTTCCACTTAATCTTCTTAGGAAACTCCCTGACAGCTTGTTGCTTTACACAGAAACACATATTCTCCCTTTTACTATTTCACAATTTCAACTACGACCATCCAACTGTCACCAAAACACAAAAGTGTGTGTGTGTGTGTGTGTGTGTGTACCTGAAATGAAGGCTGACTCCAGAGGCGGACGTGGCTTAGTGTATCCTTCCTAATGATGCCACAAACAACACAGTGTGCTGCACAGTCTGACAGCTTGTGTTTGTCCTAGCAACAGGTCTGCCCCCCCCCCAACCTCTCTAATAGACAGGCACAAGACTTTTGTCATGACATACTTTGAATTGTGGTTAGTTTTTTGTTAACATACACCTCAATACTGCAGCTATGACTGAACGTAGGATTAAAAAATAATAAGCTTACTGGTGTCTACTCCTGCGACCCTGATGCATCATGTGACCCTAGCAGCCATTTCTTTGATAAAAACAGTAAAGACTTTAAAGCCAAAAAATAATGTAAAATCCAAAGTGTGTGTATTAATTACAAAAGACAACAGGTTAAAGCTGAATGAGAAAAGTGATGATGGGCTCTGAGTGGACGCCGTCAGCAGCTTCCTGTGGGGCTTTTTCAGTCACATTTCCATTCAAGATTACGGTAACACTTCTAGGAAGGACACCTGGAGCCCTGCCAGAGGAAAACCACTGTCATCTAGTGGCAAATGTGCATTACTACATGCACACACAAAACAATGCTGCACCATTAACCTATACTGGAAAGTACATTATGTGTGAACTGTCCTGCAGTCAGATGGTTTTTATTAACTGGATTAAGTCCAATGTTTGTTTGGGGACATGAAATGTAGGAAACACTTTCTGACAAGGTACCATTTATAAACACTTGTGATTATAGAGACTTTATAAAGTGCAATTAATAGCTTTATTAATGTTTCGTAAATCATTCAATAATACTTTATAGATCAGTGATAAGCCATTAATAATCGTGGAAACTCTTCCTTCAGCATGACAACTCAAAATGGAGACATCTCCAAGACATCAAGTCTGCAGTTATAAATGTTAGTAAGTCATTAGTAAAGGATAATGGAGTTCCTTATTCGTAAGGGTTAGGGTTAAACAGCCAGCTAAGAAAAAACTGGCATCTATCTATCTATCTATCTATCTATCTATCTATCTATCTATCTATCTATCTATCTATCTATCTATCTATCTATCTATCTATCTATCTATCTCTACAAGTGGTAAAATGTGTAGCTGCAGTTTCAAGCCTTTAGATCTTAGTACTGGACAGTCTGTGAGGCTCCATAATATGAAGCACCAGGTTAATGAAACGTGTAACAGTAGTATAGTACAGGTTTAAGGGTTCTCTTATTTATTTACTCTTCACATAATTTGCTATATTGCACATTATTTCCCCCCCCTCACTTGCACAGCACATTTTGGGACAAATTGCAAAAAAAGTGAAAAGGTCTTCTTCTATTTCTCTTCCAAGTAGAAAGTCAGACAGCGATGATCTCAGCCTTTTGAGAGTTGGTCATTTAGCTTTCCACATTTCTGATCTGAAACTCAGATTAAAATCAGGATTCTGACTTTTTTTCTCATAGTTTTTTTTTTTGTGAAGAATTCTAAGTTTAAAAGCAGAATTCTGAAATAAGAATTGACCTTTTTTCCACAGAATTATGAGAATAAAAATCAGAATTCTGAGTTTAAAAGCAGAATTCTGAATTGAAAATCAGAACTTTGAGATTTAAATTCAGAATTCTAAAAAGGAAAAAAAATAATGATACAATTAATTACAACAAACAATTTCACTTCCGTAACGTGAAACTACCAGAATAGAAAACTGTAAAAGTTCATATAAATCCCTAAAAACCCGCAGACTGTTCTCGCGCTTCGCTCCCTCTGTGTTTGCCCTGCTCGCACCACACTGAAGGGAAAGAAAGAAAGAATTGCCCCGGGACAGAAAAAAAAAAAACACACCCAGAAACATGCAAGGTGGCCCGGGGTGGAGTCAACAGCAGCTCCAGCCTCACTCAGTCCGTGAGCTCAGCACTCTGATTTTTCTGCCCTCCAGCTTCACTCGGCTGCCGGAGAGCTCTTTACCCGAGAACAGTGGAATGAAAACAGGATATTTTTAGGATTATTCCCCCGCACATTTCATCTCCGAGCAGCGACAGAAGAGCGGAGGACACAGCAGGTAGGTGAGAGCAGGAAGTGCTCGGTGTTAGCCTACACTGCGGTGCCGCATCGGCCGGACGGGGAAGCGTTATTGTCGTCTTTCGCGACGCAGCCGGAGCATTTTGCAGCTTTCCACGAGCACACACTTACCAAACAAGTTTTAATCGGGCTGTTGTGATTTAGAAAAGTAGGTGGTTTTGATAAGAAACAAGCCGTTTTCCTCACAGTTAAGAGCAGCAGCATTTGAAGAGCAGTAACTTTAGCGTTAGCTTAACGCAGGCGAGGAGATGCGCTGTACGATAGTTTAAAAACCACCGAGAAAACACGCTAAAGTTTGGTTTTTCTTTGCGGATAGAGCGACAATTTAACACATAACGATGTTTATTCTGCGTATTGAAAACACACGAGGCTTTTACACGGTTGTAACGAGCTCTAACCGTTTACAAACCACTAAGACGTTACTTTCCAGCGGTTTCACAGATGAGTCGCTGCGGACACGGTTGTGATTTGAAATGGAAACGTTAGTTTAACGTCTCCCTGTCAGAACCAGGTCAAATACTCAATAATCATCAAATCTTATTCTTGTTTTTACTATAATTGTTCCAAAGTTGCAACCATAAGTCGATTAATCAGTCGGTTGCTGAAGATAATTAAATATTTATGATAACTATATGTGTGTTAATTGAATAAATGTAGGTTTTGGACTGAATATGTCATCTCTTAGGACACTGTGGTTGACATATTTAACTATTTTTTAAACAAAAATCTAATTAAAACCAAATAATTTCACACACTGGCTATAATCAAACAGCCTGGTTGCTATGTCCCTGGTGTTTTTCCTGTGTTACAGTGGAAATGTGATGAGGTTACACAGGTGTGATTCATTAATACTTTAAAACGTGACTCACTTGAATCCGATGAAAGGATGTGTTCACACTGGTGGCACAGATTTGGCAAAATCACACCCAAATCAGATTACCTGCTGTTCAAAGTCTGGACAGGGTAAAGTGGAGTTTCCCCACAGTTACAAGATCAGGTAATTTTTTTGTTGTTGAATCGATCAGTCAATCCACAGAAAATTCACAAATCAATCATTCAGGGATTCATTTCAATGATTTTTCAAAAATGCACAGTCAACATTTTTTTCTTGAGGATTTGCTTTTCTCTGCATTATATCATTGGACACTGAAAATCTAAACTGAATATAAATGAGATATTTGAATATATCACTGAGGACCCTTCCACTATTTTTTTTGTCATTGAATAGAAAGTTGAAAAAGATAATCAACAGATTATGATTGATAATCAAAATAATCATTAGTTGCAGCATTAATTTGTTCAAAAGACAGTGTGTACAATTTTAATGTTCTTGTGGTTTTCCAACACACCTGTACCTGAAGACCTCAGTGCGGGAATAACACTTCAATAATCTAATCGCAGGTTTGGTTTGAAGTCCATGAACAGCAGCAGTGTTAGCTCTGCATATTAGCCAAACTCATGTTGCTCCTTTGGCTAAGACACTAATTATTTCTGTAACAGCAGGAGGATATTTAATGGGAAAGTGCTGCAAAATTTGAAAACAGCTGGAGTCTGAAACGTGTCCTGGTGCTGGGATTAAACCTGTGGCCTCTAAATTAAATTAAAAACAGCAAATTTGAATCATCAGCGTTATTTTATTTATTTATTTTTTTGTATAAATGTTTCTTCTGTGTTGAAATATTGATAAATCTAAGATATGACTTTGTATAATAGTTGACATTGTAATTTGGTAACAGAGGAAACCAAATGAGAAATACTTTAAAATCGTTTAATATCTTGTAAAACGAATGCTGACAACTTGTAGATGAAAATCTGTGTTTGGTATAAAATATAAAACTCTTGGTTTCTGCTCAAAATTATCATTTTTTTTTCTCCACCCAGTCTGAAAACACCTCAGTCTACCTTCACTAACACTTAAATAAATCTCTTTACTTATGCAGATGATAAAAACCTTTCTGGACCTGTTCCAAGTATTTCACGCCTGTAATCTCCCGGGGTTTAGACCAGACAGCCATTAACTCAGGAAGAGTGACGGGTGATACATAAGACCTTTATTTATCAGGCGTCAGTCTTATTTAACGTGCTCCTGAGTAAAGGTATCACATCCTGAGAAAAACTAAAGGTAATAAGATGAACTGTTCTCTCCTTCTATAGTGTTTTTTTTTTTTTCTTCCATTTTCCAAAGAAAACTTGTAAACGTCTTAAACAGGAAGTTTCCTTTCTTGACTCAGCTGCTCTGAGAAGTAAAAGAAGGCGTCGCCAATTAAGTCTTGTTAGAATTTAATTAACAGGAGCACGTTAAGAGGGCCCACCATAACAGATGGTCAACAGACATGCTCACTCATTCATGCAGTGCACTCCTCTGAATTGACAGTAGTGTATATGGGGGTGGGGGGGCCAGACGGGAGCGTCAGGAGGGGAAGATGAGAGGCAGTCACAGGAGGGCGAGTCTGGGCTTGACTGGCAACACAGCCAAGAAAATTGTGGGGGGAAAAAAAAAAAAGAAAGGATGTGAGACTCAGGGAACAAAGATTACATGAAGGCAGCAAGAAGCAAGTGTTACATGATGATCTATAAATCTTTAAAACGTCGTGTTTGACGTTGTTGTGGTGAAAACGGTGTCAAATTTTAATACGCTGCTGATTACTGTGCTTTAAATACAGATTTAAAAAAACAAACAGTGAGTGACATGTTTAAACCATTCAGAGCCAGAACAAGTAATTGTTTTAACTTAAAACCGTCATTCATCCGATCTTTGAAAACACACCCTGCTGAAAATTTTATTAATTAATTACCCGTAAAAGGAGAACGACTTTGTTCCCCGAAGCGTTGGATGTTGGTACCAGGCACCAGAGAGGCGGGTGGGTATAATTTCCAGCCTTTGGCTCCGACTCTCGGCTCCTGCTCAGTGCTTAGTCATGGATCTCTCTGCATACACATGAAATAGCTCAGCGCGCTGATTCTGCCTACACTGCTGATCTGATGCTCACTCCCCCTCGGCCTGCGAGAGCCCTGTAACGTCTCATTTGTTAAAAGCATCGCACAGCAGCAGAGAGGCTACCTTCTTTTATTTGGTATGTCCTTCAAGCCGGCCGGCCGGCCTGCAACACACTTAATTTAACTTATTTATGTTCTATATCATTCAGTTTAGTGCTGCAACAAGTAGTCGAGTAGCTGATCAACAGGAAATTAATCTGCAGCAATTGATTAATTGTTTCCAAAATGCCAAAAATTCTCTGGTTCCAGCTTCTCAGATGCTGCTTCTCTTTGTCATGTGACAATTAATTGAATATATTTGGGTTTTGTGTTGATGATCAGACAGATTTCTGTTGTTTTTGCACAGTTTTAAAAAAAAAAACACATTATAGACTAATTAATTAATTGAGAAAATATTTGATTTTAAAAATGGTCATTTTTACCATCAACAAATTAGTAACTTTTCTTTTTTCTCAGTTTAATCAGTTATGTTTTAAATCTTACTTTAATCTGTATCTGGACACTGAATGGAAATTTTATTTTATTTTTGTACATTTGCACAAAATAAATGCATCAGTGCTTTTTACTTTTTTTGTCGAGGTCAGTTTTAGAAAGTCTTGAATTTAGGCAGCTATCCTGTGCAGCTTGCAGAAAAACAGTTTCATATTTCTTCAGGTTTCAGAACTAAAACTTCAACAAACTAATTTCTTTACATATTAAATCCAGATCGCAGAAAGTTGAACGAGTCTGTGTTTGTCACTTTGATCTTTTACTATCAAGTTTTTAAAATCTGTTGTCTTCTGCAGCATGGGGGCGTACGAAGAGAAGAAGGAAACATGTGGAACCATCTGCCTGAAATACGTCCTGTTCACTTTCAACTTTCTCTTTTGGGTAAGTTTCCTCTCAGACCAAGTGCTTGTTGTGTTGGTGTGACGAGCTCCTCCAGCAGCTGCATACTTTGAGTTTTCCCAAAAATGCAGGCGTGTCCTTACGACATTCATGACCTGGTTATGGAACTTTGTTTTGGCCGAATGTTTTTTATTTAATGGTTTTCACGACATTTTATTCCCCAACTGAATCTTGGGAATCAGTCGGAGAAGTTTTAGATAAACCTCCCAAGGTCAGACAAAGGATAAGAAAACAGAAGGAGAGCAGTGAAGTCATTTTGCCAAACTCTCCATAGTGAGCACGATGCGGTTTACACACCCAGTTCCACTTTGACCTTCTGTACTTGCCGTAGTTTTGCACTCGCCGATTTCCTGTCGCATTCAAGTCGCACCTTATTAAAAAACTGATCATGTTGGTTTTCAGATAATCGGCCCCTCGTTCGATTGGTGGAGTCAAACTGTGGATGTTGCGGTTATGTCGTGTGTTCCTCAGCCAGCTGGCCATCTGTGCGCAAGATGACTATTTAATTAATTAGTTTAATTGTAGGTTAATTCAACTAACGATTGAAAACAGACTTAATGAATAGCCTGAGGTGTTAGCTTTATGTTTTCCACTGAAACTGGGTCAGAGTTTGGTTAGAAAGCAAATCTGTCTAACTGGTTAAACAGCGGTGTGAGAATAAAAGGAGCCGGAGGGATCAACACAGATGTTTTGGTCATTTATCAGCCTAAGCCGTCCAGATTGTGACGTTGATTAAACTAGAATGAATTCAGAAAACACATCCAACTCAGCTCCTGATAAAACCAGGAGAGGATATTTCAAGTTGTAAATGAGACTTGATATTGATCGTGTGCTGGTCTCCAGGTGATGTGAACACTGGGTGTGCGGTCAGGGACAATGAGACACCAGGAGAAGCAGAAGTCCAGTTCCATCCAATTCTGATTTATTGTAGTCCTTCAGGGTTATATGTACAGGTAGACAGGTAGACAGGTAGACAGGTAGACAGGTAGATGGACGACAACTAAAAATATAAGTTATGAGTTAATGAGCCACACGATCTGACCAATCAGACGAGGGAATGTTCTCACCTGGTTTGTAATTATGCATTTTTGGTTCACTTGAATTTTTCTCTGTGTGCAAATAAACCGAACCTGCAACTTTACAAACTCATCACCTGAATCGTAGCAGAGCCATCGGACTTTAGGTGTGAAAACGTCCACGCACTACGTTTTCAACCAAAACCAGTCTCCGTCCAGTCTACCACACCTGAAAACACATTTACACTTACCTGCGCAATCACGTGGGCGCGTGCGAGCCGGTGTAAACAGGAAGCAGATTGTCCAGACAGTTCTGTGTTAAAATGCAGAATATAAGTGAACAACAGCAGCTGCTAGCAAAGACAGCAAGGTCAGTAACACTTGTAAATCATTAATCACATTAATTAGAACGAATCAGGGAGCGACCGTGGGTGTCTACGTCATCGTTTCCAAAAGGTCTCCGTATTCGCTCGTCCAGACGACAACGCAACCCTGAAGTTTTCAAACTAAATCCGGTCCAGCAGCGTTTCCAAAACTCCAGTGGTGTAGGACGGGAGGCGGATCTGTAGCTAAAGAGATAAACGAAAACGTATTAGTGTGGACGTAGCCTCAGACAATCAGGAGAGCCCAGGGTTCTGCTGCAGGTGGGCAAAGGGGCTCACACCTGACGTCAGTCCTCTGTGTGATCTGATTGGTCCAGCCCCTCGTTTAGACCTGCTCTTCACAACACAAGTCTTAACAAGTCAAAGCTTTCCTTTTCTCCCCAAAAGGACAGTAATACATACAGACACAGAATGAATAATTTTGCTTTTTTACATGTTATAAAAAATAAGAATTGGCTGATAAAACTCTGTCTGAAACGTCAACAAAGCATTTTTTGATTCAGGCCACAGAGAAACGCCTGCTGCTATTCCAGTTCACAGACTCAAAGCCAAGTTGCATTCTTCCACAGAGGACACAGAAGACGCATTCACAGACTTAATTCCTCCAAACTTTCCAGTGTTGAGAATGTAGGAGGAAAAACACTACAAATAACTGATCCCATCGTGTTGGAGAGCGAGTCGGACGTCAGCGTGGCAGCCTTACTGTCCAATCATCTCGCAGCTCTGCCCGTTTGTGATAATCATCTGTCTGCCAGAGAATCAAACCGTACTGCAGTCTTTACTCTGACAACCATATTTATATTTCTGAAATCTTTTAACCTTTGCCTTGCAGTTATTTCCATTGTCTCTTGTGATTATTAGATCATTTTTTTTCCCTCAAGCTCCATCATCATGAATCTCAGTTATTGTAAATACAGTTGTTTCTGCCTCTGGACTTGAACTTCAGACAACAAAATGAACAAACTGCAGCAGTATAAAGTCATTTACTGAATGGCAGCTGTTCGTTATTTACCTCAGGAGTAACATATGGTCACAATGTTTTTTACTGAATTTTGAGGAGGATTCAAGACACCAAATTGAGTAAAAAAAGAAATGAATGACAGGTGTTGCAGCGGGATGAGACAGAGTTTTGTTTGTCTTATCGTCGCTATCATGTTTTAGTTATTTAGGTTTACAACACGTACAGATTCAAGCAGCAACCTCTGCCTTGTTCTGACTCGTAGATGGAAATTAAACCTGATCGGCCGTCAGACCTCGACCACTTACTGCATCTTGAACAAACCGTGTAATCTTCAAGGTCGAGGAGATAACTTTGAGGGAAACAGTGCAGTGCTTTTATTGTGTGAGCAGTGTTTTTAATAATGAGTATTACTGCAGCCCCGATGATCACCTGCATTTAAGACGAGAATAAAAATGCAGAAGCATGAAATACATGTGCGTTCATTTGTGCACAAAGACACTGAAAACAATAGTGTCATCCAGCCAATAGAGGATACTCACTGTGTTTCAGTTTCATCAGTTATGGCTCCTCACCATTTTCTTTTTTAAAAAACATTATTTTAAGATGTCAGATTGAAATCCAGCGTTGTTCCTTCAGTCACCCAGTAACAGATGAACTATAAAGACCAGTCGTTACCTCCTGCTGCCACCAGGTGTCGCCAAAGCTCGAGTTCCCTTCACTTGTGCAGCTTTCAGTTACTTTTGGACAGGATTCACTAATTCCTGCGGTTCATTCAGTTTTAACAGCAGGTACAGATACAACGAGCATCGTGTTCGCCACATGGAGCAGTTACTGCAAAGACCGAACCACATCCTGCTGCTTTACACTGCGGATCGCTGGGCCAGAGGCTCAGTGCAGGTAGCAGCAGGATTCATGAGATGGTTCATGTATGAAAAATAAAGGGAGAAATTAATGAGAATTTAGAAAAATATTGTTTGATATTATCACTTCTTTTTTTTTTAAATGATCAACAGTCAGTTGAAAATCTCTTAAAGGGAAATCAGGGGTCACTTCTCTCCTGTCATGAAGCTGCTGTTTAAGGCCTCTAACATTAACTTGAACTGTAGGAAATGAGTTAAATGAAAAAATAAAAAGTAAAATGAAATAATAAACATGCAGTATTGTAACAAAAGGTAAAGTTAAGTGGTGAGTAAAGCGCTGTAGTTACTGCTCTGTGTGTTTTCTGGGTGTGGTTCAGTCTGACTCGGTGTCTAGCTTCATCTCCCTTTATAAATTAAATCTAAATTAGACAGGTGGTTGGATTGATGGCTTTGGCGTGGTAACAGATTTCTGTTGCAGTGCTGCACCATCTGCTGACTCCACATGGTAATATCATATTGATTTAATTTACCTCACATTCTCTTTAACTGTTGGCTTAGATAATGCTGAAGATGTAGGACAGTGGTTTTATGATGGATTGAAACATTGATTCTTAGTTTTAGTTTTGATTAGTTAGTCTGTCCTGTGGGCAGACTTTAAAACACAAGATTGCTGTGTCGCAAAACCTTTTTAAAATGCTCAACTGGCAAATTTTTGAAAAAGTATAATGAGTATTTTATTTATTGATTAATCTGCCACTTATTTTCTCAATTTAATGTCACAGAGCGCACGGTGGTGTCTGAAATGTGCTTGTCTTTGTCTGAGCAACAGTCATTTATGACCGAGAAAAGGATCCTCTCATTTAAAGAGCTGATCAGACTGAAAAGATTAGTAGTCACAGATTGATTTTTCCTGTCAATCAACTAATCAGATTCACAATTATCTTGCAGCATAAACTGGCTCCAGATCAGATTATCTGGTTCGGCAGCGGTGGGTCGTTTTTATCAGCTCACATTCAACCATTAGGTTTTAATTTCAGGCTCCTCTTTATCACTTTGAAGCTTCCTTGGGTGATAAATAATTTAAAGCCTTTTTGTCACTCTGGGTTTTTGTCTGCTCGGTGTCGAACAGTTCGCTGTTTCAGGGATCAGACTCCTGGTTTTTTTTTTCTTGCTCCAGTTCGGACTCTAATCATCCGCTCCTCTCCCAGTTGGCAGGGGGCGTTGTGATGGCGGTGGGCGTTTGGACCTTGGTTGAGAAGAGCGACTACATTAGCCTTCTCTCCTCCAAGACCTACGCTGCCTCCGCCTACATACTGGTCCTGGCTGGAGCCATCGTCATGGTAACAGGCGTGCTGGGCTGCTGCGCCACCTTCAAGGAGCAGAGGAGGCTACTGCGAGTGGTAAGAGATCACGTCGGGGTGGAAGAGATAATAGAAGCTGCACATATTTTGTGAAAGTGTGTGAAGACAAAAACAAAATGAAACCAAACACAGCGGGAAAGAGGAAGAAAATGTCATTATGTTGATCTGTTATTTAGAAGTAAATAAAGTTATAAACATCCACAACTCAAAGACTCGATCTGCGATCACCTGTTGTCGGGTGAGAAGCCAGGATTGGTTTTCAGTGGCAGCTGCTAAATTAACATTCACTACACATGAGCAGCGGGAGATATGAAACATTGATTCCTGATTGATATTGATTCGTTCTGACACCGCGAATTCACAGCTGTAACAAAACAGCAGTCTCACCCGATTATCCGCACGCAGCCTGATCCAAACGCTGCAGGTTCTGATTATGAATTAGCAGCTTGATGCATTTCCCAAATATTGATTCTAAAAAGGGTTTTAACTGGGAGACTCTCCTGTATTTAATGTGCTGCAGTCAGCTATCAGAGCGACGTGTCTCATCGCTCTCAATCTTTGCAAAGTCGGCGGTTCTGACATTAATTAGCTGCAGCTGATTTAATCTATCGCTGGTATTGTTGGTCATTTTAACAGCTTTAAACGAGAAGCTCGCCAACACTTCCTGTGTGTTTTCATTCTGGTCTTTGCTAATAAAAATAACGCGGAGAGAGAAAAAGTTTAGTGGGAGATATTGGAGCGTCGGAGCTTAATGAATCTGTGTGACCAGATCCAGCTGTCAGAACCTAAACACACCACTTATTAGTCTTTTTTTGTTTCCGTGCCAACACCGCCCCTCGTCTTCTATGGTTCTAGAAGATGTGGAAGAAAAAAACAAGGTCAGAGGAACATTAATTGGTTGGTCAGTGATTTAGAAATGAACGAAGCTCAGGCCAAATACTGGGAGAAAAAAAAGTCACAAGATAAAAATAAAAGTTTTTAGTTTGAGTTTTTTTTTTTTACCATATTGATTTGAATTGACTTTATTGCTGTAAGAAGAAATATTGTTAAGAACTTGTACGGGTTAAAATGACAATGATGACGTGACGCTAGCGGTAAAAGTTTAATTTAAAGTTTAAACTGCTAATATATCTGTAAAAATGAGAGGAAACCAGTTTAAACTAGAGCGTCTTACTGGTATTCTACTATCTAAAAAGACATGCTTATAATTTATTTATTTATAATTTATTTTTTTATTCAGTTAGATCCCCCATTAGCCACGGTGTTATAACAATGGCTGCTCTTCCTGGCGTCCTCTGTTCAATTCAGAAACGATTCTTCAGTGACAACAGATGCATCAGTGCACATCTGTATTTCATAATTTCATTTCTTAACAAATGAGAGAAGAAAACTTTCCACATTTCAATCCAGTGGGAAGAAAAAGCTCCTGTATCCATTTACATTTCATAAAACTTAAACATAAAAACCTCATAAACAAGAAAGTCATAATGATTAAACAAATTCTACTATTTTCTGATGTCAGGATA